TGACGCAAAAAGGATGCCCACTCGACCCTAAAAAGGATGCCCACTTGACCCCGCAAAAAAAATGCCCACTCGACCCCGCCCCCCACATTGCGGGTCAGGTGTAGGTCAGATCCAGGCAGCCGCAGAATGCCACGAAAGCATTCTTGCCATAGTTACAGCAGAGACTCCATTTGAGAACGGTTCCAACGACATCTGCATGGAAGTTGAAGCTCAAGAACCAGGTACTGTTCCTTGCAGCATGCAAGGATCTGGCCTTTGGCAAGCACCCGGCACCCTGCAAAAAAGCTGTTGTCTCAGTAATGACCCTAAGGTCCACTATGGAGCAAGGCGCAGGTACTCCAAGTGCGCATTCCTGGCTGTCATGTTGATGCCAAACACCATTCTTGCCATCAGAATCCTGGTGCTCTCCATCCATCAGATGTGGACTCTGCAGTACGGAGCACATGTTGCATATAAGCTACCACGCTGAGGCCCATTGTCTTCCTCAGCTCGTACCGCTATAAACTCGGGCAATTGCTCTCTTGGCCCGGGCGGTTGCCCTGTCATGTCAAAGTTAAGTTGGATCAAATTGCAGGGTAAGCCTCCGGGCAATCTGAGTGCAGTGGTGTCCAAAGATGTGCTTCCCCAAGCGAACACGCACATCGCCTCAAGCATGCCTAGAAACCGTTCAGATCTGGCAGAATCAAAGCTTTTACGCGCTTTGACACCTGGATTTCTTGTACTGGTTTAAAGGCTTTCAAAGCGAGACTCACAAGCTCTTGCCCGAGGTCTGGTAAGCAACCGCTGCGCAAACGCCTCCCTAGTTGCAGGAGGCTCGCCACCAACGTCCAAAATCGCATCCAGCTCCGCATCCATGAAAACGGTCACAGACTTCCTCAATTGGCCATACGTCGGTAGTGGCAAACGACAATAATTCACCAGAAGATGCATTCAGGGGGCCACGAAATCTTGATGCCTCCCGTCAAGAAGCCTGGATTGTTGCCAAAAGTGAAAACTTCTGTGCTTAGGGCTCTGCGACAACATTGATGAAGGGTGACGCGCTTGCTTGAATAGCTTGGAAGCAAGGCACTTGAATTCTTGATGTTGCCCTTGGCGTGGCCATTTAAAGCCTCAACCTTTCGACCAGCCAGGTGAGAGAAGGCCAGATGCTCATGGAAGCCAAATCAGAATCCCTCCGCAAAACAGTTCCTTGTGGTTGCAGTCGTCGTCGATTGTTGTATCAGGAAAATGCTCTTCAATGATCTTAGGCAACAAGGCCACTGATCCGCGGATGCTCACATGGCAGAAGCATGCCCGCACTCTGTCAAAACATTTCAAAACTCTGACAGGCCGCAATATCTCCAGGCTCAACAGTGATCGCTGCTTCTGATTGCTTGAAGAAGTCACCTTAAACATGCCCAGAACAAGCGCAAGTTCAAAGAGCAAGAACTTACTTGCAGGATCTTGCAGTAGTCAGCACTTTGCCTGCAACCCGAAGCAGTTCAACAAGGCATTGCCGAGACTCTCAGGCGAGGAATGAGTAGAGCGGTTGCCAACCTCATGTTTCTTTTCCTGTCGCACTGTACCATGCTACCGCCTGTAGGCAACATGACTGTCTCCAGACTGTCACGCGATGCAAATTGTCTTCACCCTGCATCATCACCCACACAGCATGCATGGCTCGGTGCAAGCCAAACACGGGCAGGAGGCAAGGCAGCTGCTGTCAACACCAACATTTGGCGCAGCCGCCAAATTTACTTGTACGACATCACCGGCTGCTAAGTGCACCGCCGAAACTACATCAACCACTGGTCACTTGCAGCAGTTGCTGTCTCCGCAGCATCAATATTTTCATTTAGAACTGACAAACGCCAAGCGTCTCTTCATGCGGACCGCTGGAGTTTAGCTTTCCGAACTGGTCCTCACCAGCGCGCATGCCGAGAAGCAGAGAGAGCACCACTCAAATTAGATTGGCCAGGGGACGTCTAGCTTAAACAAGCCTGTGCACAACAGGCTCGTCGCACCCCAGAAGAGAACAGAGCTTGCCAGGCCTTTTGCAGCAAGAACAATTCCGATCGAAAATTACTTTCACTCCCAGGCGTTTACGCCATCAAGTTACTGCTTTGCGTTTGCCTGACACACTGGCGAGTCTTTGTTTTAGCACATCAGAACCATCTATGCCTTTCAACCATGATATTGCTAGGCAAGGACACCGGCTGGTAGATCTAGAAACAAATGATTGCTCTCCTGGCCCACTCTTGAACTGGGCCCTTCTTGATAGGAAATGCCGTTTACCACACATCGTTTACTGACATGAACTCAGAGCTCAAGGAGTACAAAAGACTCTCAGCACAGCAAGATCCCAAGAGTAAAGCACTGCTTCGCGACGGCATGGTGAAGTCAAGGACCCCAAAGCAACACTGCCACGGCGACTGAACCGTGACATACTGCAACATGCCATGCTGCCCCAGTCTAGAAGCGGAATATTGTCGCGCGCGTATGTCTATGGAAGATTACGGATTGGCTGCAGCAAAGTTGCCTGTGTGAGCTCCAAAGATGTGACAGGGAAACAGCTGGCAACGGTCACATACAGGCCAAGTGCCTCTGATTTATGCGCAGAATGTCGTTTGTCGAAGCTTCAAGCTGTCGCTCTCCTCACCAGGCCTGCAAGACAAGCGAGGCCGCCATGGCGCCCAAAAAATCTAAAGCTTGAGCCGTTCCGCTCCATGACAAGGTCAACATGTGTGCAAAGTCTGAGCACGCTTCTCAGTTCCTGACATGGCCAACACTATCAACAGAATCGTTGCTGGAATGTGTTGTCCGCGTGGATATGCATTGAGGCATGCTCTGCGGCAATAACAATCAACAGTCTTGCGCACCACGGTTGGGCTGCTAGCGCTCAACACGCCGTTGAACGCAATGACAAACTTGCCCTCCTGACAAGTATTTCTTCACGTTGTTGCAGGACCTTTCCTAGCGGTCACACCATCCACTCGCGCCATGGCTCTGTTAGCGCTACATGGCAAGGTCCTCCCAAGTGTCATGCTGGAATCGTGAGGTGATCGGATGGTAGGAATTGAAGTGAGACCTCACTACATCGTGCAAATCCAAGGCGTTACGTATTGCATTGATTTGAAATGTACATCCGTTCTTCTGCTGATCTTATGCCCCAGTCCCAGACTGCGGCGCAACTCGCACCTCCGGTGGGTAGACCTCAGCGAACACATGAGGCCAAACCCATACCGCACCAATTACCAGTACCACAGGTAAGCATAAGCCGGGCGACACCATGAAGATCATCTTCTCCTCTTGATGCCCACTCCTTGTCACAGACTGGATGGAAAATGTCTTCCGGTCCATCCGTTGCAATAAGTTGTCAAGACAACTCCTCCAGGTCCTCAGATGCAAATTTTCGCGGATTATCCTTCACGCACATCTGCAATTGTTCTTAGACATCTCCAGTATCGTCCGATTCGTGGCAGGCGGCTCCCCGTCTTGGCTGGGCTCAAGGCAGTGATAGTCGCGTAGGCGCTATGTATCATGCTGGGCTTCACTTCATGTGTTCTTCGTGACAGCACCAGTACGCAGGATCAGCCATGTCTATTTACAAACAGCTAACTCCAATCATCTTGAGCAATCTTGGCTGGGTAAGAAGCCTGTCCAAGAGCTACAAGCTTCGTTAAGACATCCCTCCATGCCTTGAGGAACTGCCATGCAATGGCTGCATTCTCCCACCTGAGCTGGGTAGCTTCGGGCAGTCCGCCAAACTTATGGCTTTCGCATCTTTCAAACTCTGCTTCGTGAACAGGGTCAGGCCCAGGCCAGGGATGGTTGATCCACGGCGAATCGTCTTCACCTCGATGCATGAAGGCAGCTTCCATGCAAACACAAATGTCTGAGGCATGCTCAGTTGTTTCCTCCATCTTCTACCAGTTGGCACACCATCAATCAACAGTGTTTGCACGCCACGTGCATGCTTGTCAAACAGCGTGAAGGAAGCTCATGGAGACCGATCACTACAGTACTATGAGCACACTATTGACGGCGAGCATGGTAGCAGCCGGAAGTTGCTTTGAAAGTAGCGTTGAATTCATGTAACAAACAAGGCACGTGCCACTTGAGTTGCCCGACAACATCTGACGACCAAATCATGACTTCGTAGCTGCAGAACTGCCAAGCACCAGAAACACAGGGTTTGCAAACGTATCTGTCCAGCAGCTGATTGCATAATGTGAGCAACATAATGGAACCCATAGAACTTTCGTTCCTGTAATTCAATTTCTGCTTTTGTTGATGATAGCCAGCAAGCCGCACTCTCAGTCTAGGCGGTGAGCCAGAATCCAGCATCTGAAACGAGCAAATGGCTGAGTTGGACGCCCCACACTCTTTCCAAGAGTCGCCGGACCTAGGCGGGCGAGAGAGTCTTTTTGATGTAGCAAGGCATCTGCAAAGCCTCTCGTAGAACAGTGACATCCCCACACTGCTGAATTCAGCGTCCGACCCAGGGCGTCCCACGCACGAAGAAGATGCCCGTGTTGAGCATAGCACTATCTTCGCTGACGATCATTTGCACCTCTTGAAGGCAAGGCACGAGCAAGGGCTGACTGCTATGAATCGCACAGGACCTGCATGCGCACAGTAACTTGCGGAGCATCAATCCTTATTCAGCCATTGGTGGAAAACATTCCGGTTATTGGGCGCCTGCAAAAACAGAAAACAACTGCATGCCCTCGATTGAACCTTTGCCATTATTGTACCAACATATGCAATGCTTTTGCTGACACCAGCATTTTCTGCCGTTGCGAAAAAAACCGAGACACGATGCTGTTGATGCTGATGCTGGTAGTGATTATGATGAAGAAGATAATGCCCACAACGGCATTGCTAGAACAGCCACATAAACAAGACAATTATGATGACCCAGCCGATAGGCTAGTGTAGATTTTGGAAGCCAGAAGAGGATGGGTCCTCCTAGATGCTGGAGGAGGGGCGATGGACGAATGCTAAGATATGATGAAGACATAGGCTGAGGTTTGAGAAAAATGCCATGACGATGGTCAGGATTTGCTGACAAAAGTGAAACAACCTAGCCACAAAACAGTAGACTACCAGCCCAGCAAGATGATGCTAATCGCCATGCTACCGTGCAGGTTTGAACAGATGGAACTGGATCAGGATATTCATTTCCACATGCACGTTCAGAAAGTGCATGCTACCTGTACATGATCGACGCCTGAGGCTAAAAAAAGTTGCTGAGTCATGATAAGCTACAGAAATAAGCAAACTACATATGGCACAACGAGGCGACAAGACCATGCCAGAGGAAGGCCTCAGGATCAAGGCTGAGCCCACCTGGCTGACAGAAGCAATGTTTCAAGCATGGCCACAGGCACACAAAGATGATTCATCTTTGAGGTTCTTGCCGTTCTCGGCTTCCACACCAGCGTAGGTGAAAAGGATGCTCTCCAGCGTGATGCTGGCATGCACGGTCTGATTCTGTCTGTGACGATTCACTTTGTAAATGCCCGCCGACCTGTAGAGGCGCGTTGAAGGACCAGAGACGACAAAAAAATCTGAAGCCTCTTTCTGAACCCGAAAAAGCATGCGAGTGGTAGTGGAGTGGTTTTCCTGGAGGGGCTCGTGCAAAAAGGCTTGCTCAGCTGACTCGGAAACCATTGTCTGAGTCCCCCAGCAGACTTTGATTCTGCCAAACAAGGGATTCCTTCCTCCGAATGCCGCCATGCCAGCACATGCATGGCGTCGTTCGCGGATGCATGGCTTTTTTGGTTGCTTGGATGGGGCTTTCAGGGCACCAATGAGGAGACTGGAGAAGCATCGACGCACTTCAAGCTCCCAACGCTACTGCTGCAGTTTGCTTTGGCGTGCCCGGGAAGCTTTGAGGTTTACGTGCCGCAGCCTCTGCAACGCCGCAAGCACATGCATAGCCCCACGGCCTGTCTTAAGAAATTCGCAGCATTGCTGCCCGCACTGACAGGGAAGAATCTGGCTAGAGGCGGCTTCCATACAATGCTGCCGTGCTGCATGCGCTCCACAGCAACGGATGGGGTGGAGGATGTCCGGATGATGAGAGACGCGGTTTTTGTGCACACTCGCAAGGACACGTTATGCCATGGTCTTGGAATCGGCAGTCCGATGAAGACCAAATAAAATGTCCTGTACTAGATCTCACGAAGCTGTAGCAACGCCCATTGACACCAGGGTGCGCTCTTGCTGGCTGGTCATTGAAGGGTGCGCGGACGGTCGGCTGACTGTGAGTGGCTCTCGAGGCTAGCTTCACTCCAATGCAATCTTATGCAATGACAGCTGCCCCGTTTCATGGGCGACGGCATGAGCTACAAGTCTGTAAGTCGCTGTCCACTCAGACCTAGCCTCATGTTCATGAAGTAGGTGTCGCAGTCCGCCCACACCACCTTTCAGACTCTGGTACTCATGTCCCTTGAAGTCTGCCCTTGACTGCTCGGTCATATGGCCTAGACTCCTAGACACTTCATGTCAAGCTCATGTATGTCAGCCACGACATGGCCAGACAACAGTACAGCCACCCGGCATCAAGCCAACCAAATGTTGCGTGACCGCATGACAGTCAGTGCCAGGTCTGGTGGTCAGCATATTGCCGCTGTATGTGTCTGCTAAACCCTTGTTGTGATTTGCTCGCACTTTCCGACAACTACCGTCAACTCATCAGCTCTTGCAGCCGGACCTGTACCCCTCCCTGCATCGCTTTGCTTGGGGCAAGAAACCACTGAAGCCTAGGGCAAACACCCAGTCCCAACTCGCAGACTTGACCTCCTTCTCCATAAGCCTGCCAGGACGCATCGGGGAAAGAATGGGTGACACCATGCATCCATCCGCAGCCGAAGCTAAGTTCAGCCAGGATGCTTGATCTTGCCCCAGGCCGGTGGCCTGAAGCGCACACTGACCAAAGCTAGTCCAGCTTGTCTGTGAAAAATGACGGGCCACGTTATCCTACTCTTCCTACACCTACCCACGCACGGCTTGTCTAATGTCACTGTGCGGTTTGACGATCGCTGCAACAGGTCACGAAAACGCGCAGTATCCATGCAGAAGGCAATTGGACATTTGCCTTGCTGAGTCGATGCGATTCGTCTCTGGCAGATACCTGAAAATAGAAAAGGCTTGTATGTTGCTTCAGGGCCCGTTCATACAGCTGCAAACTGAGTTGCGTTCAGACAGAGCTTCTAACACAGCATAACCCTTCGTATTCTGAGGCCATCACACATGTGGACATCTGAAATTAGAGCAGATGCAGCACACTAAAGCGATTCTCTCTTGAGTGGCAAACTGAAATTGAAACCTATTGCTCACCTGTTCCAATCAGCTACTTTTGGATCCGCAGTTGAAGGCTGCGACTGGGCCTCTACTTTGAGAGGCCCTAGATAGCACTTAGCATCTCAGCACCTGAGATCATCAGAAAACACACGTAGCTTGCAAGATACTTGCTACACGCTCACTGGCTCTGAAATTCACCGAGTAGCAGTTGCCCACGCTGTTCAAATACACGAAGACATCAGTGCCATACCTTAGAAGCTTTGATCCCTGATTGCAGCTGATGGCTTCCCGTTCAAGTTCTATCAAGCCCAAGAAGCCTTGGGAGCGTCTGCAGCTTCAAACGGCCTCCCGGTATGTGAGAAATCGCCAGGGCTTTCACGCTGGGCTAAATCTGATTTCACGGGCGTGGGAGGGCGAAGCCCGGGTCTTGGTGTGGGCTGACAATGGGCTGACAATGATGAAAGGTACTGCAAGGCCTGCCGCGCCTGCAAGCGCGTGAATTTTGATACAACCACGGTCGAGAGATAAGCGCATTGGAACAGGGCGCTGCCAGCAAGATGCAAGGCTTTTGCAGGTGAAGGGAAGCCTCGCTCCTTGGAACAGGCGGCCCGCTTCAGGCTCTTCTCTTTGATGGGAGAGGCCTGCTTTTAAAAAAAGACCATGGGACCGCATGAGAGTCTGGCAGAATCCTGCAAAGCCAAACAAAAATCTGCCAGTCCTGGCAAGGCAAGCCAGGAAACCCAGAGAGAAGATGTGCAAGAACGCAAGGGTAAATGTATCCCGCGGGTGGGGGCCCGTAGATAACCAACCCAGTCAGGAAGGTACTGCTGACAGTCACAGGAACTGAGCATGTTGGGGTCGCGATCCTGGCACTGGTAGTATGTGGTCGTCGTTTGGGTCCCCCATACACCCGTTGCATATCGAAAGTGGCGATCCTGGCAGCTGTAGTCGTTTTGGACCCCGGGTCCTTGCAGGTGAGAGGAAGTCCTGAGAAGAACAGGCCTTAAAGAGAGGCGTTAGAGAAGTTCGGTTGCAAGAGCGGCTGAGGTCTGACTACATTCGGAGGACGTGGTCCCTGCCAGGTCCTCCCTAAAGAAACCGGAGTGTACTCGCGGCACTGTCGCCGTTCGGCAAGTGGCTATGCATGTGTCCGTTCTGCATCAACTCATGCTGTTCATCTTGACATCTCCATAGCTTTGGTACGATCATTCCTGACTCACAAGATCCCCCCTGAGCACATACGCCCGGCCCCGCTGAATACAACAGTCTTGGTCAAGTATGCTGTATAGACAGACAAAGATATGTGGACACGTGACAGAGACATGAGGAGTCAGACCACATCCACAGATCTCGACAACTATCTCGACCCTACTCAACCATCTCGACCCGACCCGTCCAAACAGTCCGCGGCGCTCGCCGACGCTACGTAGACAGTTTGCAGGCACTTTGCGAACAACTTCCAATACTTCACAGACACAATGGGTAACCCCACAAATCCCAACCTCTAAGCAGAAGCCCTTCTGCTATGCAATCAGGGACAACAATGCTAGCTCTGTCGAGAGGTTGAGAGGCAGCTCCAGACATGCGCTGGTCTATAAAATTGAAATTAACACATGGCAAAACCCACAGGCAGTATTTATCAGCCTCCAACAAAAATATGCTATGCACCAAACCATTCTCTCCAGCGGCGCTGCCCCCGTGCCCAGGTCATGCCTCGTCAGACCCCCTTGCTACGCTCCAAGCTAAGCCAAGTCTCCGAAAGACTCAAGCCGAGCTTATACTCAAAGGGAAGACCAGAACAGCAATTCCTGAGGATCCCCTAGGATGGTGATGATATGCTAGCTCTTTCAGTCCGTGAAATACACACTCCGGAGACTGCACGTAAGTGCCAAGTGGGGCCAAGGCAGGATGCTGGGGATTTCAGCCTCATGGCTGATTCTTTCTGTTCTGTGCTTGAAGCCCAGGAAGGCAATGCAGAATTTCTGACATATGGGACTTGGCCGGGGGAAATCTGTACGGGGACCTGTACTGTAACTGAATAGAGGGAAATCCCCGTGTATGTTTCCCCCCTAGCTCTTCGTTTAACCACAAGGCAGGCCTCCCAGGTATTCTGCGTAGAGCCGGCTCAGCGGCAGCCCGCAGCCCAGCCCTGCAAGAGGCGACCTGTCAGGGAGATCGCAAAGCTGACACTTTGAGCGGCCATTGATGGCCATTGGCCTATTCGTAGCTGGTTTTCACATTCATGCGGCTACGTCACATCGGTTTCCATGCCTCCGCATTTCCTAAAAAAGCATCGCCAACTCAAGGAGCAAGCTGACGCTTGCCACCGCTTCGTGGGAGAAAAGCTTCTTCACTGGCAGACTCCAGCCTGAGCAGTATCCGGTGCTCCTGGGATGTGTCTTCATCCTGGTCCAGAAGACCTGGGGAGATCCCACTCTTACCCCTGCTTCTCAATCAAGTCCGCCTTGATCCCTCCACGGCCCATGTCTATGAGTACATCAGAACTCTCTCTGCCATTACAAGGGAGCGCAGACGAGGTGCTATGCCCAGGCTGCATTGACATTTCAACGTGGCGGAGCCTCGTAGGAGCATCCACCGATTCCCTGCCAACGCAAAGCTGCAACAGATTCTGAGCACAAGCAGCTCTGGCGCTCCCTGTTGCGCTGCATCTAGACATTCCACAAGCTGGCGTGCCTGACTACATGACAAAGCTATGCAATCAATGCCGTGCAGTTGCAGCCCGACTCTTCTGCGCTAGTAGTCCAATGTGGGCACAGTGAGATCCCCTATCTCGTGCTCGCTCAACTATCAGAATGCCTTGTGATGGGAACATCCTGGGGCTGCGCTGTGGTGTAGAGGTATGACCAGACACGCGGAAGTCTGTCCACCGGAATACCACCTCAACATGCTGATCCAATCTTCTCAGGGAATCTTGTTGAGCGCAAAATGCGGCACTGAAGTTGCAGAAAGCATGCTTGTGCTGTCAGGTCAGCTCTGCTAGAGCATCCAAAGTTTGGGAGACCCTAAAGTAAGCTCTCCTGAACCGCCTGAAATGAATTTCTAACACGAAGGCTCTTGCACAAAACAAGCATGCTAGCATGCTTACCCTTTGCATGCATGCTCTCCCTTCCCATAACTAACATGTCTGGTTATGCTCGAATGGAGGCAATGGTAAAGTGGGCACGGCCAGGTCTCTTGCGTGATTGCTGATGCTTTTGCGATCGGAGGCCTCCTGTGTCGGAGATCCGGACGCTGGTGATTCCACGTCCAGTGCACACCTCAGAGTTCCCGCTCCAGCTGTGCCACTGCTGTGCCACTTGCCTGTGAGCCAGCATATGCTAGCTGCTATGCTAGCTGCTATGCTGCTAGTACTCGGGCCCCCAGCAACCAAGGTGACTGGCACCATCTCAGCGCTCCCGGTGAAGGAATGCTGCTCCACTGTTGCCCGGACGGCATTTTTTAGCAACTCCGACAAAATGTAGAACATGTAGCGCGGCACAAATGTGAATGGCACCTTGGGGACTTTCTCCTTTGATTATTTTGTGGCCCCCATGCCCAAAAAAATCAGCACCAGATGAAAGCTGCCATGGTCCAGCGCTTCCATTCCCAAGACAAGCTGCAGCTCCGGCATCGGTTACGATAATTTTTGGAGCGGATCCATACCACTCGTGGCATAGATTTTGAATCACGTTCGCAGCATGCTCGGCAATCTTCAGAGGATCACCTGCACTCTGCTAGGAGTTCAATGTAGCGATCAATGTAGCTTCACCCGTTGCCAGATCTTGACAGGGCACACTTGGTGCTGATGAAGCTTTGGTAAGGGTCGAAACTCGCGTCAGCCTCACCTTAGCACATCTGCGACCGCCATCTGCTATCAGAGAATTCTCTACGCTGAGCTAGAATGCGTCGTGATACCAACCGGCCGAGTCTCTGCCCTGCGACGCATCATTCGCAATCTCAAGGAATTGTGAGATGAGCAAATTTGTTGATATTCGAAGTTTGAAAAATTGATCAAGCCTTACACTGTTCAGGTCATCAGCATCAAATACAGAGCGCAGAACACAACTTCCGTCAAGATACTTTCGACAAGTCCAGTAGGACATGCACGCGAACGCACCGCTTCAGATTTCAGACAGGCGGTTGCTGACAGAACTGCAGTGTTGCACAAATCGCTAGTGTGTTTAAGCAGAGAAACCAATCGTTGATCTGATTCTCAGTCAGCTGTTCCTGCTGCAAGTACTCCTGAATGAATTTAGGCGGGATTCCAAAAGCCCATGTAAGCAAGGCTGACAACTTACCAAAACATCCGGCAGTCCTTGAAACCCTGAACAAGCAAGTTTGTTCGAGTATGGCGCCGTTTGATCTTTGCCAAGGTCAACCTTGCAACCAGAAGGAGGATGATCAAAAACAGCAGCAAGATGAAGATCACTGAATGCACTGCATGCCACAGGCCCAGATCCCATGCTCTGCAAGGTCTGCCTGAGCCCTGATTCCGACAATCCGTCTGCACTGCAGAGTCGCAGCTCCTGAGCACATGACAAAAACAGCAACTGGACACCCGGTTTGCCATCTTGCCTTGAAGGACTTGATGTACATCTCGCGAACGTGCCTCGCACATCTGCCCACGAAGGCTGAATGATGAAACGTTGCCCCGCCTGATGCCCTGTTTGCCCTGCCATTCGGGCAACGCCTTCAGCAGGCCCATGAGGATTGATGGCACAGAGAATCACGTCCCGCCATGCAATGTCTACCCGAGTAGTGCAATGACAGTAAACGCAATGCCTCCAACATTGAGATTCGCCTTGCATATCGAACAGGGAGTTCCTGTCCAAGGATTCCAGTCACTTCTGCACAGATCAACCCAAGGAGCTACAAACGCCGCCTCGTTCAGAAGAGCAGCAAGGGTTTCAGGTGTTTGTCCAAGGTCCATCATGTCGCGCACTGACAGACTGCGAGCCTGAACATTTTCGCATCGCGTTTTTCCGAAGTCGCAGCATGTCAATGTTGGCACTCAAGTCTGTTGGTGAGGAGCTCCGCTGAAACTTCATTCAACATTCAGGACTTGCCTCTTGCATTGCCATGGTGGTGATCTCTGCCTCCAGCAACTGATCAAGACGGCCTTCGCCTCAGATATCCACAACATCAGTTTCTCGCGTCGGGCAATCCGGACCCCTGTAACAACCCACTGAATCACCCACACACGCCCGCACTAGCGAGTTGTTTAGTGTGGGGTTTGGGGTTGTCAAGGGCTTGGGGTTGTTTAGGGTTTAGGGCTTAGGCTTGCTTAGAGCTTCGAGCTCTTCAGGGTTTAGGGCTCGGGGTTGTTTAGGGTTTAGTTAGCGCTGTAGAGGGTTGGGGGCAGTTTAGATTTGGGGCTTGGGATTTGGGGGGGTTTGTAGTATTTGGCGTGGCTGGGGTTTGTAAGGCTTGCAGCAGTTCGACGTTTAGGGTTCGCCGCGCTCTGGGGTTGTTCAGGCAAGTTTCGGGTGCAGAGCTGTTTCGGGTCTAGGGTGTAGGGGCTGTTTTGGGCTTAAGGCTTGGGGTTGCTTAGGACCATTTACGGCTTGTCCTTTTTCATGACTCATCTTATTACTGGCAGGCCCGAGCTTTGTTGACAAGCTCAGCCTTCTGCGACTCACTGCCTTGGCATGAAAACCTCCACAAAAAACTGACGGTAAATACCGCGGACGTGGTTGTTTCTCCTGTCAGCTTGCTGGATGTTCACTGTGCGAATGCAACCCTTCCCTCAGAAATCACTCAGCGAACTGTCATGCAGGGCAAAGCATTTAATTCGCCTGTTGCATTTGCAAGCAAAAGCGATATAAAGGCATGAGAGTAAATTTTGCATACCCCTAATGGGGTAGCTCAGCCATAGTTTAACCTATGTGTGATGAAAACTGAAGATGAACTTGAAGTGTGTAATTTGCAGAAAGCCCTTCCATGCGTATTAACAAACTTGGTCAAAAACAAGCAAAAAAAAAAAAAAAAAAAANNAAAAAAAAAAAAAAAACAAATCAGCAGATAAACAAAAGCATGATCATAGCTGCAAATTTGAGAAAAGCTGTCGTTTAACTTACAACAGGTCCATGCCAACCCAAGATGCATGTTCATTCAAATGATTTTTGTTGTAGTATCAACCTTGAAGTAAAAATCGAGGCCACTGCAAACAAATACATCAGAGTCAGGCCAAATACGCCCGAGTCGGCCCAAAGTTTTAGGTAACGATCAGCTACGCCCGAAAACCCCGATACGCCCGGATGACGCCCACGTCGGCCAAGTACGCCTCAATGTTTCCAAGCACACCTCAATCCCGGATAAGCGCGAAAACACCCAACAACAGAGGCAGCATTATTGTGAAAGGATCATATCAGGGGGAGCACTTACTTTCAGCGCCATAATGGCTTTCCAGGCTCAATCCCCTCTCTCTGCCCTGAAAGATGGTGCTGCATGTGCTGCATAGGCTGAGAAATTGTGCCCGTTGAGGAGTCCGCTCCCTCCTTGCGGCTTCTTCAACCCTTCCAGCTTGCCATGTCATGCGAAGGGTAACAGGCGTCCCTTCTCCCGCAACGATGTCAAACTTGGCTTTGTCCGCTGTAGCTCCCTATGTGCAATTGTTTCCGGGGTCGTTCCACGTCTTTGAAGCTCGGTGCGCATGGGCCAGTCATCCCAAGCCTGCGCATGTGACGCGTGCTTCTTCTCCCCTTGTCGCTCAAAAAGTTGCGCCCCTTGGGCCTAATTTTTTTCGACTTCATCTCATTGTCAGTGCTTGATCAGCCAGCTGTTGTTTTGACTCCTTGGTTAGCCTCTTCCTCCCTTTCCCGGTCTTGCTTCTCCTCCTCTGTTAGACTTCAGCCCTTGTGTGACAGCTTTCTCTCTCCGGAGCCATCCATTGCTGCATTTGGCTTCGTCCCTTCTTTTCCAAGCTGTGCCCTTGGTAAAGAGCTCCAAAAGAGAAATCACACCCGACTGCTCCGTAGTTGTGGGCCGGCAGGGCCGACGGAGGAGACGAGCCCACGCAAGTAAAGTACCCTTTCTAGGCGATTTCCTTTCTAGGCGATTTCACATCTTGCCCAACGTGCGTCCCTTCAAGCACTGAACGTTCCTCTTGATGGATTGTCAACGTCGGAGTTCCCAAGGAAGACTCCTCTGCCATCATGGAAGGGACCAGGCGCCCACCGCATCTTGGCCCACTTCCTGTCGCAGTCCGTCTGCAGCTTGTTTGCAGTGGCGTCTGCTGCAGCGTTGCCACTATATAGCTGCTTCCACAGCCTGTGCTGATGTGCTCGGCCGCGCATGGCCATACGTCCAATAGCTGCGCAATACCTGTGAGGGAGGCAACCGCACCTCAACCTCCACTCGCACATGCTGTTTTTGCTTCGGCACCTCAGCCAAGTTGTTGGTAAGTTCCTGGAGGCTAGTCCCAGCTGATGACGATCTAGCTTCGGCACGTTTGACATATATGGATCTTTGCATGAGAGCAGTGCTCTGTGAGACTCCTATCCTCGGAAGCTTCCATCCTCTTCACGTCCTGCATCACTTTTACTTCCACTTCCTTCTCATCTTGCTCTTTTTACTTGAGGAAGCCTTCTCTCAAGAACTGCCGCTGCTTCGGTGCTCCGTCAGAGCGAGGGGGTGATTCAGGTTGCAGACACCTGCCCTGCCGAAAACAGCCACTAACGTTCACAGGCGTCCAACGCTTTGACATCTTACGACTCCTTGATCCTCTTCGAGCTCAGCATGCTCTTGGATTCGGGATTGTTTAGGGTTGGGGGTTTGGCGCTGTTCAGGGTTCAGGGCTTGGGATTGTTTAGGATTTTGGTTTGGGTTGTTCAGGGTTTTCGGTTAGGGGTTGTTAAGGGTTTGAGGTTGGTGCTGTTCAGAGCTCAGGCGTTTGGGCTTTTGGGGGTTTGGGGTTGTTTAGGGTTTACAGCTTGGTTTTGTTTAAGGTTTTTGTTTGGGTCTGCGCTTGTTTTGGGCTTAATGTTTGAGGTTGTTTAGGTTGTTCAGACTTCAGGGTTTGGGGTTGCTTCGGGACGATGACAGACAGACCCAGACCTGGACATCGGACAGCCCAGATTTGGACCTTGATCGCCTTCACCCGAACCTGGACACCAATCACCCGGACACAGACCTTACCGACCACCGCAACCACCCAGATCCGGATCCGAACTCACGAAAGAACCCACAACATCTGCGACCACAGGATCTCAGGGCCCGGCTAATGGCCACGTTGTTCCGTGGTCTCAGAAGGCCCAGGGCATAGCTCCGTCGGCTGAAGCCTGGGGCTGCAAGTCCGTTCCAGCATCAGGCAAGGCCAGCTCCGCGCAGTTCCAACCAAAGCTGACCCTTCAGCGGAATTGCGTCGAGGGGCGCCACAAGCTGCGGCTGCACAGCTTCGCAGCCATAGCGGAAAAGCGGCGCTTCGGAATGTTGAACATGTTGAGATGAAGCATACAAGGGCTCTACGCTCATGGGGTGTAGGGGTTTAAACTTTAGGCCAAATCCGATCAATGTTGCGACTTTCTGCTCTCCAGCGTAGTACTTATGCACTACACCGTTTGGATTGCCCTCGCTGATGTTTATCAAATGGCCCCTTGTGGCACACGTCTTGGCAAGGAGGGACACCTAGCCCAAGCAAAGCTGCAACACAATTTCTTGACAAGCCGAGCTAATTGTGACGCGTGACGCATCCTGACCACTCTTCGCATTCTACCGGACCAACAAGGAACATAGCAAGACTGTGCAAGATTACAAGGCAGGGCACGTGTAGCCGTGCTTGGCCGCATACGTACCTCTGCACCCAGGAGTGCACAGCTGAAGCCGTCAGCGAAAGCCACCCTACCTTGGTTTGAAGCGGAAAAGCGTGGCAAAGGATGATCTGGCGGATAGGCCTCGAAACAATGACGCAAGAGCTTTGGCAGCAAAGACTGCTCAAACTCAACTTCCCAAACTCAACTTCCCGCGCATGCATGCATTTTTTGCGTTTCATGGCACTCGACAAGTCACACTGCCTGCAAGCATCGTTTCTGTACAAGGTCCCAACCAGTGGTCCATGTACCAACAAGGCTTGACCCCTCTAGCCAGGATTTGGCCACAGGGCGCCACGGTGCTAAGCAGCTAGTCCCAGCTTCGCATGCCGCGTGGACTTCGCGGCCTCTGAGCAGGAGACCTGCAGACATGTGCCCATACTGAAGATACCGTATACCGAACCTCTGAAGCAAAAAGTCTGACTATCTACTAGGACTCCGCGCCAAGAGCGCGACCGGCTGGAGCGTCGTCTCCTCGGACTGGGCCGGCGACTGTCCTCATTTCAGGCACCACTCTCCTCCTCCTCGTTATCAAACGAACACAGCAGTTCTGCACATGTCAAAGCAAAGTCTTTCGCAGGCATCAGCCAAGTTGCAGAGCGTGAGCGGCCTCGACCACGGCGATCCATGTCGTTACCTACGTCACATGCCAGTAAGGGCTGCAAGAATCAGTCCCCGTTTCAAGTATTTTGGCCAAGTGCAGTGCAGAAGAGCTCTACTGCAGGAAACTATACTAAATCTTGCGAGGGGGTGCTGGGGATGCACCCCTCCGAGGGGTGTTCAACAGAAAGCCGCATTCTGCAACCATGATTGTCCTGGTTGGTTGAATCGCTCTTTGTCAGAATTGGGTTCAAGAAAAGTTGAGCCCTTCCATCCGGAAATGGTATTGCCGCAGACCAGCCAAACGCAGCCCATTGTTGGGGAGTCTGGATGCAACAGTCCTTTCATGTCTTCACCTCACCCCCCTTGAGAATTCATTGTGCTCCCTGCAGTTCAGTTCTGCTTCAGAGCTTGAGAGCCCTAGGCAACTCAATCTTAGCAGAGCCACAGCAACCGTCAAATCCGTAAAGCTTACCATGCGGCTATGAGATCCTAGCTACATGGGCCCAGGCAGCCGGGCCCTAGCCCTACTTGCAAAAAGGTCCGTCTTCGTCTTACTGAGTACTTGTATCCGGGAATGCATCCAGACTTACACAGCTGATAAAATCCTTGGGGGGTCGAGGAATCAAATGCCACATTTGGAATTCCACCTTTGACTGATTACCGGCACCCCAGCCTGAAACCTCAACTCCCAACCCTGCAAAGAAGATGTTGCGCAATACTCAGCCATCGGCGCAGCTTCTCGTCAATCATCTCATTGACAAGTCCTGTAGTGGTTCTCCCCCAGGCCATAGAGACAAACTTCCGTCCGCTAACTGGCTCAGCAACTTGACTCTGAAACAAGGCGCGTTCTGCGTGCCGGCGCCCTCCGATGCCAGTCTTCGTGCCGGCATAGGTGCTGAAGATGAGCAACCTCAAAGGCTCTCGAAGAAGTGATTTGCACATTTGCTGCAGCTGCCTGGGCCTACTATATGCATGGAATAGAATATAGCAGATTGAAAAGCGAGATGGGAGCCTCTCATCACCTCGCGAATCCAGGGCCATGAACATGAAGGTGCCAGTCTCCTGCTTGCAGTAAGAGGTTGATGATATGAGCCGCCATGCGCAGCGGTCCAGAAGCTGAACATGTGATTGCACAACGATTGCGCAGCACTCGACCTAACTTCTCAGGCCGACGGTGCATAATGTGTTTCACGCAATCCACATATGGTCTGGCTTGCTTTGTTCCAGTCTCCTGCTCCATGCGCCGAAGTTCACTTCCGCGATTACCTTCAGGAGATGGACAGTCGGACACCAGCTTTCAAGGAAGCGCCCCTGCGATGTGTGGGCCAACGAGACATGTGTGCATCATGACACTTGCAATCAGCACGAAAAGCAGCTTCTCGATGTGACCAAAAAAGCGTGGACAGCGCCACAAGCATAAGGCCCAAGTATTGCCAAGCTTGCAAGCCGAGCTTACGTAGAACAGGGGCCTGTGACCCAGCCTTTGCAGCTGTCTGGGATTTTGACCTTTCCAAAGCGGAAATGACAGCTCTGCACTCACAAGCTGAAAGCAATTTCATGACTATGCAAGAAAACTCAGTAAGCTTGAAGGTGCCTCCGTGACATCGTCACGCCGTGTCAAATCCTGGTGTCTCCACATTAATCACAATGCCTCAGCCAGCCTCCGCTACCATGACTAACTCTTTGCCCTGCACACTTCTTTGGTTAAGGATAACGAAAACCTTCTCGCAAGTGGAGTCGGACGCAAAACCTTCTCAGCCACATCCAGTCCGTTATGGTGACGGAGCCCCGCCGCTGTTGAAGAAGCCAGTTCACCTCAGTTTCCGATGCTTGTGGTCAAACGTCATTTTGCTCTTGGAAAACTGCCAACTGCCTGCTAATATACCTGAAGGTTCAACAGTGCCTGGCAAGCGACAAATTCACGACATCTTCTGCGTTCTTTGAGCGTGCCAGCTATGAAGGCCTCGTTTGCTGAACTGTTGCAAGCTGTACCACGATTCTGGGTGAGCTGTCATACCGATCTGACAAGATGCAACGTGCCCAACGTACTGCAGAATAGCTCCAGAGGCAAGTTCAAGCTTCTTTCTCGTTGCACCATCTTTGCCTGGAGCTGCACGCCAGTGTCACTTACAGCTGGATGTCAGCGCTGTACCCAAGAACAGCTTTATTGCCAAACCAGTAGCCCAGCGCGTAACCTCGGATTAGCAACAAGCATGCCTTCAAACGATCCACCAAAAATGTTGATCTTTCTGGCTAGGCACTGAGTTCATCATCGCGAAACAACATGCGATCAGTATCGAAACCTCTTCTTTCTGACATCTTTTCACGGATGCCTGGCAACATGTCCATGTGAAGTTGCCCTACCTTGGAGTCTCAAGTACATGCACAAGTTGCACAATGCCTCGAGTAAAGAATCCAGGGCTCTTCGTTTCGATCCCTCAGCTCCGACATATGCCTACTCACACTTGAGGAGTCGGCCTGCTCGAGTTTGGGCAAGTCTCCACTCATTACCTTGAGCTCCGATCCGCGACCTTAGCTTAACTTGGTTGGCACCGAGAATCTTGCCGTATGGAGCGATAAGCTTGGGCCTGTGGAGGATCATATGCTTGAGGCAGCCTTTTCTCTTGCTGACGAGCTTCGCGGCCGCTGGGGTCCTGGGTCCGACCCAAACAGGTCTCATTAATCATTAGGCTTCCAGCAGTCTCTTTCACGTTCTGAGACCCGGGCCGAAGATGGCAAGCCTCTCTGTGCCACCTCCTCGACTACCACGCGCACCATCCTCACCTAGCTGCACATGGTCCGAAGCATTCCCAAACTCAAGTGCAGCCTGCAGCTGCAAAGAAATCATCTTCGATGAAAGCAATTCACTCAACTCCACAAAACACCGCCCCAACCTTGAGATCGCTTGCAGTCAGTGGCTCAGATTCTGGCTGGCGGTTCTGGCTAGGCTGTCGTCGTCTGTACTTACAACACTGATTGGTCCAAGCAGCTCATGAAGAACATTAGCGTTCCCCACTCCTGGAGCAGCATGTTTGACGGAATCATGGACAACCTCGCATGCCTCTCCTCCTCCATAAGGCCGAGTGTTGCCCGCCGATTGCCTTGCATGCACCATGACTGCAAAGATGATGATTACTCAAACCTGTACTGGTGGCCGTCAGCATCGGTACTAGAGCAATTCTCTTGCCATCTGACAGTGGTTGCTGGCAAACACACATACATAGTGCTGGCTCGGTACCTGTAATGTACCCAATACAATCACCTGCAGCAAGAATTGGTTGCTTCCAATAAAAAGCTGCTGACATTTTCAGAGACCAGGCTGCTCTCAATGCATCCAAGCATCTGGGTATGTCAACCACGGTGCAATCCTCGCGATCTTCCCAGCCAGCCACATACACGGGGCCTTCGAGCTGTTGAAAGAGCCACTTCATGTACCTCAGATCTGAGTGCCCGTGGCCATGTATTGACAGCGTTAGCATCTTCGTGGCCTCCCTTGATTGCACAGGAGGGGCTCGCGAACTCTACAGCGCTCTGACTTAGTGCCCGAAACAACCGCCACCATGCCCACCTTGGCAATTCTTGAGATGCTCAGGTACAATCCGTGCAGTGTCAGACTATACAGGTGGCACATACTTGGCTGGGGACGTATTGGACGATAGCTCCAGAAGAGCGCTCCAATTTCTTCCTCTGCAGATATGAGATGAGAAGTGGAAGCTGAAGCCAACTGGCATTGGATGTGCCGCCACTAGCCAGCACCGTCTTGTCCTTGTGCCACCCTGCTTGCCCAAGGCATACGAGATCTCACCTTCGTCTCGAAATGTCATCGTGTCCTGACAGTTTTCTTCATTGCGCTCACGCAAAACGTGACCCCAGTGTCACAATATAGTTGCAGGCGAAGTGCAGTTCCCCAAGTGGATGTCGGATCCTGTTTGATGTTGGGGTTTGTGGGAGGTACAACCCTGTTGGGCCAAGGCAGAAACTTGCAGCTTGCCTGCCTTGTACTTGTCACGGCTGATGATCTTGGCACTTGTGCATAGACTGCTTTCCAATTTTTTTACGCGGATCCTATGATGTGAGTGTGCTCCTGCCCTGCCCATAGCTATAGGACTCCCAACATTTTGGCATGGAAGCTAGAAGGATTAGCGATGCGGGGGTTGCTGGCTCCAAGGCCTTGATTCGTGTTCTCCATCTTCCCAAACCAGACGCAGTTTCATGCTCTCTGAAGTTTCGTTGTGATTGGACCTGCATCCGTGCCTAGCCGCCTCGTTACCGCCCTCACTCCGGCAAATCTTGCTGTGAGTAAGATCAGGCGGGTAACGGAGGCTCATTTTCATCTGCTTTGATGAAACTGTGTTTAAGCTGGTCTCACATGTCTTGGGCAGGAATCATCTGCATCAGGGTCCAAGCCCGGAGCCTGATGTCAAAACAGGCGTACTTTCTCTCTTCGTGTTGAGCCACACGTGCAAACCCACTTTACTAGAGATTGGTAGTTGGCCATGCGTCAGCGAATTGCCGCTTGCGCAAGGACTGTTTGGAAGCTCTTGGATGACAAGTAGGAGAGATATCGAATGACAGAACGGCAGCGTTTAGGGCAGCTGCTCACGTGCACATTGACATTGCCGCTTGGAAGATGTGCGCCCAATTGCAGCAGCCAAGACACCATCTCCCGCACTGACGCAAAGTAGCCAGACATCTTCGTCTCCACAGCGCTAAGGACTTTCAGCTCTGAGCCACGCCGGCCCCGGATGCTACCTGTGGACAAGTCAAGAACATCACCGAGCACGTGAATGGCTCCGATTTGTTTTGTGAGCCGTGGCACCGAAGATTGCCAGACGCTGGGCTTTTGAGAGGTCGGTGTCGATGAAAACCTTGAAAGGCAAACAAAAAATAAGAAGACAATTCTTCGCTTCACTCCGCCCCACTGCCTTTCAGCCAGGCAACCATTAGGGTTCCCCACTCCTCCTCAATGCTGCGAAGGACGCTGCCACCTTGGCCCTGCACATAGCCCACCTTAGACTGGCCGGGACAGGCGGAAAGCGCCCCAATGTTCCAAGAACTGAGACTGGCACCACATCTGGCGGCACACTAAGGACTGTGAGATCCCCATCCTCAAAGTCGTCAGTGATGACATTTGGACCTTCTGGCACGGAACCCATCCCAAGCTTCCGAAAAGCAAGGCCAATTGATTCAGGGGGTGCTTGTTCCACATGAAGCTGAATGTCCATGGCCACATGTGACGTTGTGGCTAGAGTCTTCAGCACCAGCAGAATCAAGGCCGGATGCGTCAAGCAACCCTCCGCTCAACAACTTTGAACTGAGCCAAGGGCCCATGCGTTGCTTCATTATCTCAGATCCAGGTGTCTCTGGAAAGGAGCACGTAATTGAGTGAAAACGGCAAACACAACGAGACGGACCATCAAAACGCTCTGAGACTGGTGACAGCCAAGCAACGATGTTTGCATATTTCCTGATGAAGACAAGCAGTTGAGTGAAATGCTTTGCATGCAGTGTAGATGCATGAGTCAAGTTGCAAATCTCGGTATGCACAACCCCTGGTCCCACAAACTTGAATTTAGTCAAGGGTCTTGGCTCTGCGTCTTTGCAAGTCTGAGCCTCTCATCTCCAGAACCAAGTCTTTGTCAAGAAGCCTTTCGAGATCGCCGGCACACTCCCCGACAAAATGCACACTGGTTTCGTTCAAGCCTATTTTCAGACTTGACTCGAAGCCTTGCAATGGGGTGCTTCCCCACACTTCAGGAAGCAAAACTCCCTTTGTCAGCAGCTGCTTCTGCCGAATCTTGAAGTAGCTACCCATATGTCATTGCTCATATAAGCTGGGTAAGCCCTACCTAATTGCGAATTTTGTTCTCCACAGACTCGTGGTGGACCGTCTGCAGTCTCAGCCATATCTATTGCAGAAGTTTAAACATGATTAGATAAACTCCAAGATGAAGTAAACTTGCATACACTATTTTGACACTAGCTTTATCCATTTCTATTGCCCAACACACCGCAAGGATCTCTTTGGCCAGATCTGCACAGCTCTAAGCGAAGCTTTGGCTGCGCAAGCACCGTGACTCGTGCAGTCAAGGCACTCCACCTCTGCCTCAGACACGCGAGCAATGCGTTCGACCGTGCGTCCGCCTGCCCCAAACGTCAGAGCAGCCGCGTCGTCTGCCGTGATCCTCCTAAGCACCCGAATGAAATCACGTACATCGTAATATGCATACCGCTGGAACTACATGCGTGCTTTATAGCCTCGACTTCCTCCGCCGCGTTGATGGCTTAACGCCGTTAGAGTTGGATTGCCACAGAAACCCAAAATTAGGAACTTATTGTTGGAGATTCACTTGTTGTGGCAACAAGTTGCCTGGCTTCGGCCAATCGGGTAGGGATATTTGCCTGAAACTCGTATCTGAATCTGCGGTGGGCCCTTTCTTCAGTATAGGTACATTCATTGTCAACTTAGTCTCACATTCTTGTCATGGAAACCTTGCACGCGCGCGATATCAGGCACTCAGCGCGGACGCGCAGCACTGCCGAGCGTCAACATATGGATGAGGCAAATTGTGGTGCTGCTACCATACGTCCATGAGATCGGCTGGCAGCTCATCTTGATTAAAACCCTAAACCGGCAACCCCAAGACCCTGAAAGCTTGGACCTACAAGATCTCCTCCGTCACGGCGAAAGCCTAAACCCAAGCCTCATAGACCCCGTTATGATTACCAGAAGTTGTATGCAGGAAAATACCACGACAATAAACCACTAAGCCATGTGCATAAGCGCGCGTACCTTTTTACACGGAGGGCTTGAGCATAGTCCAAGGATGAGTCCACATGCAATGTTGACATTGCCGAAGTACTAGAAAGCATGATGCAAAACAACACCCCCTTCACCTCGGGTTTCACCCTTGTGTTTGCCTCGCGGCGAATTTGGTGTTGAATACTTCGGCTGCCCGGCACGGGAATGTTCGGCATCCCTGGCCGCATCTTGCGCCGCTTTGGCAGTGCGGGGCAACTCGGACTTGATCAAGTCAGACATTCGGTCCATCAAGTGAGCGGCGTCCCGGACATCATGACATGACAATATCCCTTAGGAAAAGGTCAAGAGGAAACGCACAGCCTTTTAGTTGCGTTCCCATAACCTAACAAAGGTACTAACGGGCATAAATGCGCCGAGCCATGCGATGCAAATCGGGGGCATGCGAGGATCAATCAGCTTAACTCGGATCAAGGCCTCTGGCTCGTCGGACAAGAAGACCAACCTGGCGGCGGTACTCATTTTGTCGTCGCCACGGTGAGGACCAAGTTCTGAGTGAGCCGAGCCCGCTGATGATCTGTTCCCGGGATCTGCCAGCCATGGGGAGTTTGGCATTTATGATGTAGTCCATCTGCAGCGCCCGCTGATCGCCCACGCCGTTTTTCCAAGAGTCGCACGCGTATTGGCTGTCTTTGTTGAAGCGGTCTGCAATGGAGGCATGGCTAATGCCGTCGTCGCCGACTTTGAGTACCCCTGCGAGGTGCATCTTCGCATTGGCAATCAACTCCGTGTCGGACGATTCCTCTTTCCCCACGACCGGCTGCTTCACCCACATTTGCTGCGACCACATCCGAGGTAGTGGCGTTGTAGTCGACGCCGAACTTCTCGGCGATGCGGGCAGCCTGCTCAATTCTTTCCGCACGTAACTTTGAGCGGACACTTGCGCGATGACCTGCTTGCAAGCGTTGCCCACGGGAGATGCAGACAAACTGACTCGGAACCGCTGTCTTGTTGCACTTGTCACACTGGAGCTCCACAAGCATGGGCCCAGAAAAAATGTCCGGGGTTGGCTCTGTCGGGGTTGAGGGATGCCCTTGTTTGTTCCACCGTCTCCTGTTCCTCCTGCTGGCTGCTCGACAGGCCTTCTGTGGAGCGCCCCGCCCCTGATGTACAGTATGCAGCTGCCCGGGACGGCCTCTCTGGACATGACACCTTCGCTGGAGGATTCCATGTACCTGAGGACCTCGGACGTGATGAAGATGACCTCGATTGGGCACCCCTCAATTTCCTCCAGCGGACACTTGGCAAAGTGAGCAAAAGCATGTCCACTTCTGCCATAGCCAGGGCGCAAAGCATCACGCAGGACAATGAATGCTGCATCTCGCACGGTTCGGTCGTAGAGTCGAGGAGGAATGTGCTCTAGTGGGATCAAGAGCCTGCCCGCGAAGGCGGCTTGATTGCCGAGCTGCTCGCTGGTCTTGCCACATCTCCATCATCCATTTCCAGGTCCTTAGAGTGCGCTTGCACGGATGTAAGTGGGGAACATCGGCTGATTAAGGAACTCCGCCCTGGGATCCTCGGGGGCCGCCCTTGAAGACGAAGCGGCCTTTGTTGTCGCGGCACGCGAGACTGATGATCGCCTTGGTGCTCCAACGCTGATGTTTCACCTCATTGAAGTCTCAGCGACATTCTGGGCGGAAATCCACGGACAAGAGAAGATGATCTTCTTACGCGGAGTACTCCCCCTGATCAATCCAGATAAATGGATCTTCAGGTTGTGGGACATCGGTATGTCGGAGACCGGGGCGAGGTTGGCCTGCTCACACACTACCAGTCTCGGATCGTCCGGTTCAAGAAGGTGTGCCCTCTCCATCTGTGGTAGCTCACCTTCCATCTCGAGGAAAGCGTAGTCGTCAGATTGACGGAAGCCAATCCTGCTGTTCATGGTCAGCTCGAGGGACATTGGTGACAACGCCCTCACTGACCTCAACTGTGGTGGCTTAGAGGCTGCTGGCCTGCCCTCGCGAACGGGTTGCGCATCCTCTTCTCTCTGACGAACCTCCTCGGCCTGGGTCTCTTCGGCGCCTGGGTCACATCGGCCTTGCGTGGCCTCGATTCGCTTGCGATCCTCGCGGACTTCCATGACGGTGGGGTCTGTTGATGAAGGCGGATCTGGCCTGCCCTCGCCGGCGGCTTGCTCCTTCTTCTGGGCCAGCATCTTGGCACACACCTTCTCGAGGAATTCCGCATCGGCATCCTCGCAGGGAATATATTCGCCGTCGCCAACGTACACCATCTGCTGGATCTGGTGGTTGATGAAATTTGCGGTTGAGCCCTCCAGGACGAGCGTAATGACCATGCAATCTTTGCTGAGTCAGGCTCTAGTCCTGCTAGCATGAAGGACGCAAAGGTCATTGATGTGTTCGGCAGTCAGCCAGGTTACTCGAAACAGCAAGCGGGCGCCAGGCAAGCGTACACCCAGGCATTGTTTGAAGGGATTGAGACATGGGTCCGTCTCCCGCGGAACCGATGGCCGAAGGAGTGGGATAAGTACAACGACCCAGTTTGCCCATTGATGTTAGCTCTCTACAGACATCCTGCTTCAGGGGATATGGAAAAGCACTGCACAAAACAGCTCGACTCCGTTGGCTGGAAGCAAGTTCTTTCTGAGATCTGACAGTGAATTTTACTACTATGCTGAACTAGATCTGTTGCTGGTAATTTTTGTCGACGACTTCAAGATGGCCGGGCCAAAAGCCAACATGAAGAAGGGCTGGGACGGCGTCAACAGCGTTCTGGACATGGACTGCAGCTGAGGTTTTCGGTAAGTACGCACGTCTTAGACAAAAAGCGCGCCGCTCCGGCGAGCAGGTCTGAAGCCAACCGCACTGAGGACTGGTGGGAGGTTGATCCCGACATCGGTGCAGTCATGAGGCACCACGTTTACCACCGCAAAAGGTTATATGTTCCTACATGCGAAGATGTCCACAAGTACCCTACAACGATCTCAGACAGGATTGACAGGATTACAGAAGTCGATGGTGGTGACTCGGTCTGCGACAGTACTCTTGAATCAGGTGCCGCGAGGAGGAAGGACTGGTGGACGGGAAAAAATTCTTCCCGATAGTTGAAACAAATGACGAAGCTTTTAAGCTTGCAGTAGCCGCCCGCAAGGGCAGGCCTGTTCGCTCGAAAGCTGAGGCCATTCGGGAAGGTAAGGAAAGCAGGTTCCGCGGGACGGAAGCCATTGCGGGCGAACCCGTTCCACCCATGTCCAAACCAGTTAACGGCACGACCAACGACACGCACACTTTAAAAGTTCATGTGTCGATCGGTGCTGCGAGCTTGCAGCTTGCAAAGGTCCCCAGAGGTTCCCTCAAATGTGTGCTACACCTTTTCACGACAACAAAGTTGCCAAGCCACTTCAGGAAGGCGAGGCGGGCGGTCGCTTGCAACCTATTGCAAGCAAAAGTTCTTATGAAAGCGTTGTTTGCGGCAAGGATGGCGCGCTGGGATCTGCTTCCGAGCTACGCAGAGTCTAGCATCGAGGGTCACCAAATGGTCGAAGGATTGCGACGTCGCTTCAAACCGTTTGATTTGTTACGTCAATTTCAGTTTGGACACGCACACGCAGGGTTTCATTGGAGACAAATGAGTAATTGTAGACGCAGGCTGGGCAGGGGAACGTGATTCCCAATCAACATCAGGTCATCAGGTTGCGCAATGTTTCTTGTTGGCAAATACACCTACTACCCTCTCACCGCGTTCTCCAAGAAACAAACCTCCATTACCATGTCCAATACTGAATCCGAGGCTGTGTCAGCGAACCATGGCGTAAGAGCACAGGGTTTGCCTAGGGCCTAGTCTCAGCTTGTGGACCTTTCTCTGGAAGGAAGTTTCGATAGCTAAAGACGGAGAGGCTAAATCCACCAAACCACTTCCGACAAAGAATGACACCATCATCGCACGCATCGATCCTGAAGTTGGATGAGACAAGGTATGGTGAGCTCAAACAGGAAGGTAGATCAGTTGCCGACTTGAACGGCCTGAATGTTGCCCTTAGCGACAAGATCCAGTTGCAGTTCATGGAAGACGCTCAAGCTACAATTACCATTATTCTCAAAGAACACTCCGAGAAGATGTGGCATACCAACCACGCGCAAAAAAAAATCATTTGGATGGCTCAAGCAACAGTTTGAGCGAGGATTCTTCAACATGATAAACGTTGACACCAAGGAGCAGGTTGCTGATATCTTTACCAAGCCTTTTGCTGAAAACGGTAAATGGTTCCACGCCCTAAACCTCATCAGCCACGTGGAGGTCCTCAAACCGCTGTGGCAAAAGAAGCAAGCCCCAGGTACAAGCCGCCCTCGCGGGCAGGCCGGCCAGTTCAGGACTTCACTTCAGCTTCAGCTTTCGAGGGATAAGGATTTCCGCCGAAGTGCTCTCCAGTCACTTGTTGAAGCGTTCCCAAAGTCGCAGAGGAAACGCGTCAGAAAGATGATAGACAGAAACAACGAATCTTCCTAGACTATGTTTGGTCAATACACTCATGGAGGAGTTCAGGGAATCACTACGGTCTCGCATGACTATCCTGAGTCGTGCCACTACCTCAACTCCTTTGTGAGGCATCACGCTCCGCAGGATTTCCGCTGCGCATCGATTGTGATCAGCGTAAATGCAAACAGCAGGTTGCACTCTGATGTTCACAATCTTGTAGGTTCTAACAACTTCACCACTAGTTGCGGTAACTACACCGGGGGACGATTGAGGACCCCGCTGCATCAGGTCCGCGCGCCGGTACCCAGCAATTGCCAAACGGTGCTGAGTGCTGACATCAAAGGCGCTGCTAAGAGTACCAAGGGTCAGTTTGTCATGTTGGACCTCAGTAAGAAGCATGCGGTGCTTCCTTGGAAAGGCGACAGATTCTCCCTGATAGCCTTCTCCAGTAGAGGATTCCCCAAACTTTGCGAGGATGAACAACAAAAAGCTAAAAAAGTATGGCTTCCGCCTGCCTCAAAACATCTCTGTGGCCGCACAAGCCGCGTGCGAGCGGGGGCCACTCAACTTCAACCGAGTCCTTGTAGAGTTCTGCTGTGGACCTGAAAGTAAGTTGGGTCAGCTTCGTGAGGCCAGTGCGTGGTGTCATGTTTTTAGAGTCGCCAGAGCCGAAGACGCAACAAAACCCAAGACCGTTCAGCGCTTGTCAAACAGATCCAGACCCTCTGCGACGAGGGGGAGGGTCCAGAAAACCTGACATCCTGAGTATGAGTAAACCCTTACTCATTTTGCGTCCTACCGGGTACTGCAGGATGCCCATGGCAAAGAATCAACGCCGACAAGAACCCTGAACTGGTTCAAGCCCACAAAGAACAGTTTGCCAAGCTTTTAAAACCGTTGCAATCATTGCGCAGGATGGTCAAGAGTGAGTAGGAACCCGCGCATCGCATTCGAGCTTCCCAAGAACTGTGAGTACTGGTCCTGGGACCTCGTCAAGGACTTCCTAGCTAAACACAACTTGGTTCCGATCTTGTGTGATGGATGCATGCTAGGAGAGTCCGCGACAAGCACGACCTACCCATCAACAAGTCATGGCAAAATATCATGTACTTTTCCGCTGCTAAGGCTGCAAGGCAAAGTGTGCCACAGGAGCCACTGTCATGGTGAATCCAGGGGCGCAGACCTCAAACATGCTTAGGAATACACCTTCGACACGGTAGACGCCATCCATCAGGAGTGGAAGGACCATGACCATGAGCTGAAACATTAAACACGCTTAAGGGATAATAGCGCACAGCAGTCGCAGCCGCCAGCAGCCTGTAGCATTCTAGCGGGACTCGCGTCTACGGTCTATGCCTCCAGCAACGATGACGACCTCGGCCGGAGAGCGCAGCAAGTGCCACGAGAGGAAAGTTTGAAGTTTTGGCGCTAGACCCTATGGGCAGCCGCGCTCGCTGAAGAGTTTAAACTTGCTAAGAATGATGCGGAGTACGGGCAGACGCTGGCCACTCAGGTGTGTTTCTCTGAGAGGCAGTGTCCAGGTCTGCGGTCGCTGGCCGGAGTCCATGACGACGGCCTGAAGCTAATCAAGCCCGAGACCATGCGTGGGCGGAGGAGATTTCAGGCGCTTGTCTCCGACGGTTTCATTGTATTCCAGAAATCCTGCAAGGCATGGACGGACCTCGCAAGCATGGAATCACTGCGAACTTATGGTAGCTTGACAATCTTCGAGAGAATTGCGCACCGACCGCTCTGGGGGAAGAGGCTCCCGCGTCTGGTTCGGGAGGCTACCCAGGCCAAGCAATCATCGATGAAGTCACTGCCAAGGGTCAGGCTCAGTTCCTGCGCATTGACATCCAAGTTAATTTGGTTGGGCAATGAACTTGCTGTAGAGCGGGGGGGTATTCTTGGAATCGGAGGGAGAGAGCGTCAGCTGGAATCCGGCACGCGCAGCAAGGGGCGACTGGAAAGAGATGGTCAACCGAGTCTGCGCTTCCATAGCCTCTCAAGGGCACGCTATGCTTCGGAGAGGTCATCGGATCCATCTCCATGATTGGGCAGCCAAATCCTGCCAAGTATACCCTTCTCGAGGGGTTCGGCAAATGTATGGACACATTCTTCGGCTTCGCGCAGGAGAATCAAGTGGCCACCGCATCGATAGCTGAACTGATCGAGCCGTTTACTACGCATGACGCATACCATCTCAGGGACGATTCAAGAAAGAGCAAGACACTTGCCGACTTTGCAGCATGTGTCGCTACTGCGCTGACGTAGCAAGGTATCCATCAAGGTGACCTCATCTGGTATGTGGGACATTCCGGCGATCACCGACTCCCAGTTGTGGATAAAATTAAAAGTAGACAAGTCGTCACTGAGCAAAATCCACTTTAAGTAGCTCTTCGACAGAGTAGAGCGAGCCAAATTCTTCGTTTGTCTGGAAGTACTGGTCGAAAAGGTGTCGACCCCTGACAGCCCTGCCGAAACCTGCTTCAACTTCTCTAAAATTGAGGATCCACCACGCAAGCTCACCTTTGGCGACCTTTGTTAGGGCTGCTAACAGTTCTGCTAACAGTTTGGTAGCGAGGGTGAGGAACTTTTTGGGGTCGCGCAACATCTCATGAGAAGCATTTTTGCTGTAGACTTCAAGTATCCATTGAAATGCTTCGTCAAGCTTGTCCGACGCTGCCCTAATTGACTCCCAAGTTGCAGTCTTCCAGCTTCGGTAATGGCCTTGGGCTTATTGTCGTGCGTGCCTTCTCCCTTGAGGAGATTGGCTGCTTCCAACAAGACCTGTTGGGTCTCAAGAACGTCAAAAGCGCACGGGTCAAGGTTTGATCGGGAACCCCTTCACCTTTAGAACCCTCAGTGGCCTTTGGACCGGTAGTTGATCTGGGCGTGCATGGAGGCTCTGTGAGACCGGGTGCTCTTGGTGTTTCAGCGGCTGTTGGACCTATGTTCATTTGGGAAAGCAATCCTCGCATTGATTCAGGAATGGTGCGTGGATTCGGGACTTGGGGCCCTGGTGGTGCAGTAGGGCCCGGAGGAGTTGCCATGCCTGTCCGCCCTGATCCCGCTGAGAGGGGGGTCCTTGGCATGAAACCTGAGGGCCGCGCTTTGTTCCTGGAAAAACCTAAGTGCGCGTTCCGCTGACAAGAGCTCTTGCTGAAGCTCAGCGTTCTGGCCACGCATTTCATCCTCCGTCTTTGCAAGCGAATGATTCTTTCCTGCGGAACCTAGTGAAGTTTTGAGAAACTCTTCTGTTGGGAACTCTTGGTTTGTCTTTGCGAACTCGGCCATTTCAATCATGTAGGTCGTTTGGAGCCTTTGGGCCTGGATCGCGTCCGCAATTGAAATGTTTCCTGCTTGGTCTCGCTGCATTGCCATGTTTGGTTCCTGCAAATTCTGGGGCTCTGCTACAAGAAATCTGTTGCGATCTGCGGCCCGGACTTGGATACTGGAGATGTTCCTTTCAAGCCTAGAAACTACTTCAAGGCGCCTTGTCTCAGCTTGTTGTTCCAACGTATGCAATCTCATCTCCGAAGCCTCATTTTGGTACCGTGTCGCTACATGGTGTCTGCGCTTAGCCTCATTCATTAACTGGGACATCTCAAATCTGACTTGCTGTACTGTATGCCCCGAATTGACCATTGTCAAGCTTTGATATAGGTCACGGTTTTGGGCTTTAGGCACTGCGCAGGTCGAGGGTTCAGGGTTTAAGGTTTCAGGTTTGGTGTTAGGGCCTGGGGTCAAGGGTCTAGGGGGGTTGTAGGGGTTACGGATGGTCATGGTGTGGGTTTAGGGTTTTGGGCCTTAGTTTCAGGTTACGGCTTTAAGTTTTGCTGATTCGGGCCATTAGGGTTTGAGTTTGGGTTTATGGGTGTTGTTTTGCATCATGCCTTCTAGTACTTTTGCACTGCATGTGGACCCATCGTTGGACTATGCTCAAGCCATTTCAAGCCCTCTGTGTAACAAGGTAGGTACGCGCTCTTATGCACATGTCTCAGCAGATGATTGCTGTGTTATTCTCCTGCATACAACTGCTTGTAACTATAGGTTATCAGCCGTATAGCGGCTGGCACCTGCAAAGCCTCCAAGTACAAGCGACTGCAATCAGCGCATGAGTACAGCGATAACGGATACCGACATGCCAAGCGCAGACGCATATCCAGAGATGATACCAGCTGTCGGGCCACCAAGATTAAAATCCCTAAAAGCTGAACCCTCACACCTAACCCTAAACCCTAAACCTGATCCTCAAACCCTGCAGACCACAGAACCCTTCAAACCCAAAACCTAACCCCCGAAACCTAAACCCAAGCCTAGAACACTACGCTCAAGCCTACCTAACCAAAAAGAAAACTTGATTCCCATCCAGCCTCAGACCCTACAACCAAATCCCCGGGCAACGGGAGGCAGAGGGGGTGTTGATGGTCGGGGGTGGGTGTTGTGGGTCTTGGGGCAAATACTACAACACCCCTCTCCTCATTTTGTCTTACCAGCTGGTTCCATCTAATGAAACTGTGTGGATTGGAGCTGTTGGAAATCCATCCAGAGGGTAACCTGAGGTTTGAAACACATCATAACATGAGACCAGCGTCATTGACTCGACGTTCCAGTCCTGAGACCCAGCAGTGAGACCCTCCACACTGAACGCTGGCACAATCATAAACACTTCAAGTCATAACTCGTGCACCAACCCGAGTTCGATCAAGACCGACTTGGCTGAGCGGTCGGGATTCATTCGGCTTCCGCTGGCCAGGGCTGCAGTCGCGACTGTTGTCCCTCCTTCCTGAGCTGTGTATAGAATAGCTCAAGCTCAAAGGAAAAGAGCTCGGAGCTGTTGTGCAGATTGGAGGCTTCGCCGGCTGCCACTGCGGCTGCGAACGTTGTCCTAGGTCTGTCATGTCACAATGGGCCCAACTTTGGAGTGTTGTCGCCCTGCACTCCCTAGACTCTCCCAAGACCCACCTCCCAAAAGCAATAGATTTGTTTTTTCTCATGGGCCTGGGCCTTGCTCCAGATCTGGGGTGGACGCGTAAAGCACTAAGAATGGAAGGACAAACAATGCATGGCACAGAAAGTGTGTCGCGCAGCGTGGATTGGAACGGGGGGCAGCCCGGCCTGTTTGGCAGCCTTTGCTGACGCCTTTGCAGCCTCACTCCAATCCGAGCGGATGCTGGCCTCAAAGCATTTAACTGCTCGGCTGATCACTTTGACTATAAGAGTTGTTCTTCCGAGGGCATCCGCCTGGCTGGGACTCCTCTCCTCCTGCGCACCTTGTCGTTGCAGTCTTAGGGGATCTGAAGCTATCCGCACCAAGGGTTGATTGAATGCATGCATGCCGTGGACCATGCAGGCTGGATCGGTCTGGCCTACATCCATGGCCTTGTCATCAGCCGGGGCGCCTTGATCATTCACAGGCAGTTTCAACTACTTGCGGGGTAAATCCTGTAAGCTCCGCTGCCATCAAGCCCCAACGTCTTCGCGGCCAGCCTCCTGCTGCATGAGCAAGGGGTATCTGCTATCTGTTGATTGCTTGGTCACAGCCAAGGCACACGAAGTCGGCTTTCTCGATGCAGCCACGGGAGCCTGAGTTGATCAAGAACTCCTTTCACGGCACTGGCAAAGATAAGCTGACGGGCAGCCTTAGGAAAGGGCTTCTGCTGCACAACTGGCTGTCAGTTGCGTAAAAAAAACGGATTAACTTCTTGGAGCCAATACAACACGAGGCCCAGAAGCTGACCCCCTCGCGAGTCAAAAGCCTCTTCAGCTCCGCAGAACTTAGCGCATCGAGGTCCTTGCAGACTGACACTGCCAATTTCCCTCCACACACAACATACACATTAGATTACAGCTTGTCTTGGAGTGATTATGCAGAGTACATCCTGCACTGAGGAAGGCTGCGCCATCGCAACACATGTCAAGATGTGCAGCGTGAGGTGTTGTTATGTTGCACCTGCCTGACGTTGGCTTGCAGGGTATTGTCTGTCTGTAGTTGAGAACGTTGAGTAAGACTTGCAAATGGACTGCTTGTCCTGCTTGCGCATTTCCTTCTCATATTTCCTTATCACGTCTCACCCTTTCGTTCAAGAGTGCTTTGCGTCTTTGAAAGGTGGAATCTGAATCTTCTCCTTCGGCGTGTGCCTGCCTCTAGTTTCCGTTCTATACCATCTGAAACACCTGCTGGTTGTTTGCAAGATCTGAAAATGAAGCCCACAAAGCTGCGCGGTGGTTCAACACACACTGTATGTAACCCTCACAGGCAGCAAAAAACATCTCTACCACGTGCTAAGCATGCTGTTGCAGGATCACCTCATATTTTAGGTCCAGCGCAATTTATTCTGTGACGGGGAACTGTTGCATTGAAGGCTGTTTGATGCAACTCGCAGCAACCCATGATCTTAGGCACACGCACAAAGACTCACGATGGCGATCCGCAGGTTTGGCTGCCTTTTTAGAAACTTGACAGGCGCTGGGCAGTAAGAGGCTTTGATTTTCAGGCGTCCTCCATGCCATCGTACTATCACCACTAGCCACTAGCCATCTGCAAGACACATAAGGTTGCAGAAATGCATGCCAGGTGAGTATTTGTCCCCCGACTCACGTAACCGGTCTCCCAAAATTTGAGCAGCCTGAAGTCGTGAGCCACCCTCTTCCCAGCTGCTGTTGGCGCATGACCTCAAATCAAGGGCTGTGCAAGCATGAGCCCCGATGCATGTTCTAAGTGACGTTTACCGATACTCTGCCACTCTGCCAAACATCGTCACTGGTTGAGCTCAGTTCTGCACCACTTGGCCCTGAGTTTTGGATCGCAGCATAAACTGACCTGGAATCTAGCTTGCACGCTAAAATTTTGCAGGAGCATTATGCTGCACTTTCAGCAAAATGCCAGTCACTTGCGAATCGTGCCCGTGGGAAGCGACAAATGATGACAGCCAGCCCCGAGTCAAAACTTCGATGGATGCAGTGCAAGTTGTGCTTCGGTAACTAGGTCTGGTGCGTAAGGTCGCTGTTTATCTCCTGCAACAGCAGTCGTTGGGGCTCTTGATGCACAACTTTTAAGGCTCTTGGTCACACGTCATACTCTTTTCCTCGATCGTGGACAAGTACTTCCACTAGACTAGGTGCAGCACGCTGCACACATAAAATGATGCCTCAGGAAGGCTTTGTGCAGGTGTACAGGTTAGACAAGGTGCCAGGAGGACAAACTGTCCTGAATTCCGATGGGCCAGGCGCTTCCGTCGATGAGCGCCTGCAATTTTTCATGTCTGAAGGCTTGCTGCGGCAAGTACTTTCCCAGTATGATCACGCTCTGAATCAAGTCAGTGTCAGTGTATTCAGTGACTTCACACCAAACAAATGCTGCACATACATCTTACACGAACCTGATCGTGGTTTGTTGTAACGAAAGTATGCGTCAGCCTTGGATTGGGTAGCCCGCCGACAGAGAACTAAGTGATGGATTATGCTGCCACGACACCAGTTCATAGCCAAATGCCTTGCAACATGCACGTGAAGGTCAGGTGAAGTCGCCATCACCTTCATCATTTGTCCTGATTCGTGGCGGGTTGCAAGAAGCGCAGGCCGATCTGGTTCAAGCGCCTAGCAAGCGCCACTATGCACTAGCATGATTTGTTGAAAGCTTGCAGGCTGCGACCGCGGCGCCTCATGATGCGCTCATCCTCATGGCGCAAGCTGCAAGGAACAATGCAAAGAGCTTCCATCTACAAACACCTGTACAAAAAAAGAAGTATAGTCAGTGGACGTCCGGAGGCGCAGGGTTTGACTTGATGCTTCCAGAATGTAAACTGGGAATCACAGCGCAGCATTGCGAGTCCTTGTGCACATGAGAGCAGTACGTGTATGCCAAAGCCCGATACAGCGCAGAAATGCCCAGCGAGCAAGAGAAAGCCTGCAAACGCAAGTAGCAAGTCTCGCACTGCGGCTTGTTCGTGTCGTATGAGCACACTATGGTAGCAGCTGTTACCAGAATTCGCTGGCTTGAGTTAAAGGTCTTCACCGGCCTTGCGTTCGTCACGTGTGGCCACATCGGCAGCATCAGCCAAGAGATCCTGTCCAAGTGCGCTGCATACCCGAGGTTGTTTGAACTCAACCCTGACAACCTGCCTTAGCACGCTGGAAATCACCGGACTTGAAAGCCTTCGTGGGGCAAAATTCTTGCGAAATTCCTCCATCCTTCATGGGCTGTTCCTCGATTCGGCTGCAAGCTTCGTGCAGCCGCGACTTCCTCGTAGAGCATGGAAGACTACGACTACTACAACTACTGCTACTGTATTCTTCCTGGATTCCAGTCATGAGCCCCTATGGGTTTGGGAGAGGGTTCATATTTCGGATGTTGCGCATGGGTTGGGTTCTACACTGTGGATAGAGGTGTGTTTATGGCAGTAATCACGCAGAAAACGCCATTAGTATTTCGAGCACTGTCATCTGTTCAGTTCCCATATCCTGCCCCCTGCAAAGACCAGTGTGCCTATCCACCTTTGTCGCTATTGCTTTTGCTCAAGCGTGGCCCACTAGCGCAAGACAGCACATGGGCCTTCTAGCTGCTGCCATTGTGAACAGGCCTGTGGTCCCAGATCTGTTGCTAGGTGTTTCCGTCATCCACCCGCTACAAATACGCCGGCTCCCAAAGCTAGACCGATTGCACGGCTTCATAGGCCCAACTTCTAACACTTGCTTCCCAGGCCCCACTTGCCCTCGACTGAGGTGATGTACTGGCCAATATCCAAAGCGTTTTGTTTCCTTGTCGGTTGAGGTCGGATGTTGACTGCCCGCTTGCTCTGCTTGCCGTGCCTGGCAAGATTCTTGCAAGCTGATCTCTCGCTTCGTACTGATACATAAGCCGAGGAGAAAAAACGTGACAGTATAAAACACTCAAATGTCCTCCCTCTCTGAAAGAATATGTTAGCATTGCCTCTGCACCATCGCCAATGCTGATCAGCAGCCTTGACTTGGACATCGGGATGTGACTCACTGACCGCATGCATTCTTCAATGAAGTGCCAATGCAATGCACAGCAAGCAGGCTTGGTGTCAAGCTCTGGCCATGGAGCAACCTGCAAAAGCATATGAGAAGCTCTGGCCAAAATCCTGCGGCCTCAGCCTCTGGACAGTTCCCAAGCTGCGCGACTCCCAAGGCAGACCTGGAGGAAAGGTTTCTTGACTTGGCAATTCTACTAGACAAATTACGACTTGCACGATAACATCACAACACACGACATGACGTGGCTTTTGCTTCAGGGCAAGTGCACCGAGCAAGCCTCTACATGTCGTCTGGTCAAATTCGACGAAACTTCTGGCAGCTTTGGCCAGCGATGACCAGGAGAAGGTTTCAACGTCAAGGTGTAAGACCAATGCCGCCTATGCTTCGGCTGCAAGGTCTGACCAAGCTAGCCCTCATGTGGCATGCATTGAATTCATCTTATTGGCATGGAATTCTGGCAGACTAAGCATATAAACAACCATGCGCTGCTCGGCTGCTGCAAGTGCACAACAGCCCGAAGGCAACTGACAAGTAGCTAATTGAATGAGCACCCATGCCCCTTCGGGCCAGGCACGAAGATGATGCTGTCTGAGCCACTGGAACTTGAATAAAAGGCAGCAATGCTCAGTCCTTGAGCACTGGTCTCTACACAGCAGCGCCCGTGGCACCTGCAGGGCCCGTGAAGGTGATCAAGTTGTCAGGAGACACCACGAACTGGCTGCCAAGATCAGGCTCTGTCTCGCTGGACTGAAACTCCAACCTCAGCTTCAATGGATGCTTGTGGCTTGAAGCACGCTGAAACCCTCCGGGCATTCTATGACCGCACTGGCACGCACCGGTTTGGATTGAAGTCTGGCGAAGACACACTTCACTGGACTCTGATCACCAGCTTCTGACATACAAGTGGGCCAGCAACTTGCCATCCCGTCAAGGAAGAGCAGGGTACTAAGAATCTCTCTTCCAAGCCACCGCAGCTCCTTCATGCTGGGCAACGCAGCCTCGGATTCGAAGGTATGAGCCATCTTGAGCAAGCTGCACTTGGACGTGAAGCAGTGAACCGCACTTCGGCCATGCAGCGCAGAGCTCCTGCAAGCCATTCTGGGAATACTTGCTGCTGTTGCTGATCAAGTAGAGCCTGCCGTTTGTCAAAGCAGCAAAAGCAAATGTGGAAATCTGCAATGTGCTGCTTTTGTTTACCCACACATCACTCTTCCAGACAAGTGCTGGTCGAGACGCTTTTGCAGTCCGGAGCCAGACTTGTTCAGCCAACCAGCAAACCTTGACCCAGAGATGGGAGAGAGTAGTTTCACTAAGGGAAGAGGGCACCACGGCCACGGTACACGACAACACAGTTCTCGGACCACTTCCGACACTTGGATGCGCATGTTGCTTCAAGCACACACTAGGACCAAGCATCGGACGCTCTCAGGGAACTGTCCGTCAACTTTGGGTTTGCATCCAAATTGAGGATGAGTTCAACCAGGCTGCCAGGCAAACCTCGCGTCGACGATAGAGCATCATGAAAACAAGGTGAAGAACACTGCTTGCAACATTGTCAGATGGTAATTTGCAGCCATGAAGAGACTGCATGTTGCACCTTACCGTATCTGCTTTGGACAGAATTTTTAGCAAGCCACTGTCCAGCAACGCACCTCAGCAGTCTGATGCATTGTCACTACCATTTGCTGAAGACTTCGAGACTGTCACTGAACGACTCCTGCAACTCAGTGCGTGATTGCTGCAGGGAGCACCAAACTGAGGATTTACAGGGTGCCAAGTCACAAAATCCTTGGTCCGTGAACTCTGTGTTGTCCTTGAAGCTCAGCATTACCTCAAGGCCCAGCATGCATTGCGCACTGCATCTGAGAGCCCTCAGTTCACAGGCATGTAGGACTGAGCCGTGGCACTGACGGAAACTGAACTACCAACGACCATGCTAGGCCCATTTTCCACTGTGATGCCCTCTGTGACGCGGCTTCCAGCATAACCCCTCAAGCTGGGAGTTGTTGTATGTTGCTGTAATAAGGGTAGGCGCCACTTGCTTCGCATGCAGTCAAGATTCCCGACTCAATGCGGGTGGCAGAGAACCAGCAAGGCTCTCGAGCGCCTGCAAGAAGGCACCCAGAGTTTATGCCCATCACCACCAACCTGAAGACGCATCCATGTTACATAGGTGTGGCCGAGAATGCCTTATCCGGAAGTTCATCGTTTCTGAAGATGAGATCCAAGGAGAGCAAGCCCTGACCGTTGTCGTGAGGTCTGGAATGGGAAGAACAAGCACACTTCTTTAAAAGTTCATGACTTCAGCATCTCCACACCCCGCCTTTGGCAAGCCGGCTACTAATTTCGCGAAGCCATCAGATGTGATCTTGCACTCCGTCCACCTTTGCCACTCGCTACCAGAGCCGGTGGAGGATCTGACTTGTGCGGTTGCACCAAGGCACGAGAACTCGAAAGCCAGAGCCAACTTCTGCAAAGTTCCTGGCAAGCCTCGCATTTTCTCGCAGGCTCGCACATTTGCCTGTGCAAGCCTGGCTGCACATAATACGGCACGCTTTCTCGGGCCTGCCCCTATGTAGCTCAAGGCTTGGTCTGTGAACTTGTCTGGGCAAACAAAGCTCAGGGTCAGCTTCTCGGCTCCTGAACACAAAGGAGGAAAGCCAAAGAACTTTCACGAAGTCATTTCGCCCATCCTGGCGGGAGCGCCGCTGAGAAGCCCTGTAGCTCATTATCCGTCGTCCACTCCTCTGTCAGCACATCTTTCATTACCACAGCAACACTGGATGAAAGCGATTCACCGTTCAAGTCATGGTTATCCTCACGAGAAGCGATTTCACATCAGCAGTATCAAGATCCGATACTATGAATGGTTTGCTGGTGTGGCTCCCTACGGAGGCTCTTCCGAAGTGCGCCAGAAGCGGACCTATTTTTGCCCCCCACAGCTCAGCTATCCTCAATCTTGTCTTCGAAGGTGCGGAACATCCAGCTGATGAAGTGGCTCAACGTAACCTGCCAGGAGCGTCCTAGATGAGAAGTGCACTACAGAGGTCGCTGACAACGAATCACACGGACAACACAACATGCTCTCTGCTCAGTTCTTGTTCGTTTGAGAGGCCAACGTGGGGCAGGCTCAAACGGGCTGCCTTTCCAGTCTTGTCTGGGTCCATGGCCTAGCAGCAGCCACGCAGTGGTGAGCATAACAAAGAAGCTGTCCAGGCCCCAGGCCTCCAGGAGCCGCTCAACGTCAGCTTCGGACATTGAATGACAGCAAACCTTCAAGATCTTCTTCAAGAAGGCCTAACACTCAAGCAGTCAAGCAGACGGGAGGCAAGGCAGGCTAACCTTGACAGCAATGTTGCAGCCGAGGGTCCATGGGAACGACACCTGAGAAAAGATGCAATAACACTGGCCTCCCGAGCGAAAAGCCTCCGCAACTTCTGCAAAGTAGCCATCGGAAGCTGCGTGTTTCGAGAAAAGCTGCACCAGCTTGGCCAAGGCAACATCAGCCGACGAAGCCATCGCTCCCAACTAGAGTATATGAGCTCTAAGCATTCTGTCTAGAAGTTTACGGGAAAAATCTGAGATGCGCATGGTTCGTCAAGAATGTTTTGCCAGAACCCCAGGGCTACTTTGAGCCAATAGGCCTTCAAAAAGCGAGCTGCTCTGTTGTCCAGCTGTTTTGATAAAAAGCCTTCAACCAAGGCGCTCACCCGGCAAGCTGCTGGCCTCCCACAAATGCCTCAGGTCAGCTTTGAATCAAATTGGCCTTTAGCAGTTCAGGAAAGCCCCCTGGCCCCTGTAGCCTTGGGTTACGTTTTGTCTCCGCCGTGGCGTGCACGGGAGTTCACAACATCTTCAAAGGCAAGCACAGGCCGGGCACGACATTTTGGGAGGGAAGACCGGTCCTGGCTCCACCTTACCACACTGAGAAGGTGGCTGGGGCTGCCAAGAAGACGCCACATCTCCTAACGCTGCTGTCATCTTTCTCTGTCCAGGCACAGGACTAACGAAGCACGCAAGCCATGGTCAACAGGCCTGGGCATCTGCATTCACACCATCAATATGTTTCTACATGTATGCAACTGCCTAGATGATGGACCAGCGCAATGCTTAAAGATTATGTCGCATCAGCTTGCCGTCACCATGACCTTGGCCTACAGCAGCTGCACTCGAAGGATCTCTATCAAACATATTGCCGCAACCGTGACCAAGGACTTTTGTTAGTCAAAAACCTTGAGCGCTTTGCTGGCATGCGTCACTGTTCATGGCCTGAAGTGTCTTGAGCATGACAGCCAGACTGCAGAGGAAATGTGGGCCTTGATCTAAGTGAGGCAGGATATCCCCAACAGGATGCCCTCAAACAAGCAGCATCCCACCGGCTAAATTCTCTCCGGTTGGAGAGAGTGAGCATGTACCGAACATCAGGCATGCCATGCTGACACTGGTCAAACCCCGCTAGCGCGTTCCTGGTGTCCCTTGCATTTCTCGAGAAGCAATCAACTGGTGCCCCGCATCAAGGCTTCTCACATCACCGGACTTCCGCTGCCTCTCGAACGTGCTGCAGCAACACATGTCTGCATCGGAGCTCGCGTGGAGTTTGGCTGAATCATAAGAAGCGGACACCACGCCTCCACCTAGTGTTTGGGTGAATGTGCCACAGCGGAAATTTCGCTGTCCAAGCTGCACAGGGGCTCAATGTTTCTGCTCCGAGAATAATTGCAAGAAGCTCATAGCGCAGCGTAAGGCCATCTTCCGCCTTTCCAAATCCTTGAGCTCCGTACGCTTTAGACGTTGCCTGAGTGAGGTTTTGCACATGCTCGTCTTGCTTGTGAGTCTTCTTCGACATGCAGTGGAGACCCCCGCAAATCATGCAGAATCCTGACTCGCTCCGTCTGCTCTCTCTCCAGCTCTGCCTGCTCAGGGATTCGCACCGGCAGACGTGCTGAAAACGTACGCAGGCCCGTCCTCAAGTTTCTGGTTTGCCGACCTCAGGCCGCCAGCCATATCCTGTACACCCAAAGCACGAAAGACAACAAGGAGCCACCTGGAGCATGAAGTCTGAATCTTGCCTGCTGATTTGACAACTCTGTCTTGGAGGATTGCGCTGTGCCATCAGACGCGCTTAACCTGGCCCCACGGCATGCCACAACCCATCGAAAGCAAGCACTTGCCAGGCCTTTCATGGAGATCCTCGCTCCGTGCTTTTTCAGACACCAGTGCCTTGCAGACGCAGCAGTTGCGGTCTGTAGGCACGGCATAATTCACGCTACCCACAAATAGTTTGATGCAAGTGCTGGTCCGTCATTAGAATTTTTTTGGATATGTTTCCGAACGTGGGAACATGTGAAAAGAAAAAACACTCCGAGCACAAATGGATAGACCAGAACCAGAATTCAGGGCTTGGGGTTCGGGAGAACGATGCACAACCTCAGACAGGCTTCTAAGGGACTGCCATACATGTATTGAAACACCCCAGTCTAATCAAATAGCATGTCACACGTGCGAACAGGTTTGCATAGGAATGATGATTCAGAATGATTACAAACTCCCATGATTTCAACACACCGCTGCCTGCTCCAGATTCGTCTTTTCGAGCTGCGCAGCCTGGCACTTCGTGTTGAAAACACCTTCCTATGGCTTAGGTCGGGGTTCACTGAAGTCTTTTTCTCTTTGTCTCACTCACGCAGTGCCGAGGACTGTGAATTGCTAAGTTGATGCATGGTTCGAACACCTGGGCGGTCGCAGTTGTTGCTTGCAGAAAAATAACATCAGGCAGTTGGAGAGTTCCTTTTCCAAGCGAGTTTGCACAGCTTTGCATTGCCGAGTCTGATGAACTTGCATGCATGCACAAGCAAGCGTGGTGTTTCAGGCGCTGCTTGCCTTAATCTTGGCTCTCAATTCGGATACTTCATCGAGCACCTGGCATCCAACTTTGCCGTTGCTGCCAGAAAATGCTAGAAACGCATGAATTCACAGTGTCAGATTGAAGGCACAGAGATGTTACGATTGCGCAGGTTCATGTAGGATCCGTCGGAAAACCTCTATCTACTCGCTGCCTTGTTCAGCCGCCAGCTCTGCCGAAGCAGGTCCAACTTTCCCAGCAAGGTCGGTGCTGGGAGCGTCCAGATCTGCCATGTCCAATCGTCACAGGAAAAAGAAGCAAGTGGTGTTTGGGAGTGTTTGCACGGTTCAAATCGCTTTTCTCAAGTGCACCTTCCCCTCCCTCTCGTCTCCTTCTCAAAGACTGGCGATCCAAACCAGAAGAAAGGTCTTGGATACGGTGCTCATGCTCATAAAGGAGCAGCGGATTGGGTCTTGCATTTTTTCAGCGTCTCTTTGTACTGGCTGAGCAGTCTTGTCGGCCTGCACCTCTTGAAACTCAGCCGGGAAGACGGTAAAGCTCAAGATGGCAAGCACCTGGCCCAGACTTGCAACACCCACAAACATGCAAGAACAAACAGACTGTGTTGTGAGGTTTGGACCATGCAAAGTGCTAGGGGGCTCCTTGCATTGGCAGGAGGCGGCCTTGGAAAGTGATATCATCAGAAATGGAAACCCAGCAACATACTACGTAGGTTCCAGGCCAACACCGACTCCCGGAGTTGGACGTCTTGCCCTAAATGCTCACTCACAGAGCAAGGAAGACTTTTCTGATTTCACCATGTGCCTTGGAGGAGTAGCTCTCTGCTGGGACGCCAGGTTCCTGCACAGAAGTCAGAAGGAAACCTGATTGAAGGACTCCAAGCACCACGCAGCCATGATCACCCGACCTGGCCAAGCAGCGCCTCCGTCTCTTCGCTTTCGCCCTCGCCCGGATGACCGCGCAGCCTCCCATCAGGTCTCTACACTCACGACCTGTTGATGCGATATCCCAAACGCATAAAGTAGAAATGATACCCTGCCAAGGCCGCAGCTCTTCCGGTCGACGCCGGAACATGCTGCGGTAACATCTGCTCGGCGAGCACAACTGTGCCCTGTGCACAGTCTCTTTGTCCAAATTCTTTGATTCTGCACAAACTGCAAGAACTTCCGAAAAAAATCTGTTGAATGACAATACGACTGCAGAGTTGAATAGCAAGCATGGCATGCAATCTGATTAGCTGCCTGCAATGCTGGAGAGGGCCTTACGGTCACATGTTGCCCTGAATGATCTATAGACTTTCTAACTGGACAACAGAAGGGGCGCGTGACGGGGCGCAGGAGTGGGTCAGCAAGCGCCTTCTGCTTTGCAGCTAGTTCTGTGCAGACCTATCCCTGCTACGTCACTCACCTTGAGCTAAGCGCAACTCAAAGTCTTTTCGACGCAACGGATGCAACGGCTGATGCCGCTGACCGGATCATAGGCTGGCTGGGAGTGCACGTCTGCGAGTGGACGGGAAGCGACCAGAACAGCTGCGGACGGCGTTCGAGATGGTGCCCAGGTCCTACACAAAAAGAAACATATTGTATGTAACATAATTTCAATCAGCAGTCTGGTTGGATGAGGTGCCTTTTGGTAGACATGTTAGTAGTTCTGTCCTGCTTCACGACGTTTCAAGTTCAAGAGGAGCTTTGCCGCCTTGGCTAAAGCCGCTTTGAATCAACAATCCACTTACTTGCTGCCACGTTTTGGTTTGCGGAGCCGGTCAAACAAATGCGCGCGAAAGGCAGCCTGAGATGCAGGCCAAGCCAAAAGAAAATCATGCTCTGAGGATGGCCACCAGTTGACTACCAAACACTAACAGCGTCAGTTAACTTCAACAACTCCCTCGCGCAGACCACGTCAGAACCCAAGTCGCGGTACCTAACGCTACCTTCTGGATAGGGATACGCTGGAAGTCACGCATTTTGAAAGATTTGAGTACACTTGCAAAAGACCTGGGGCAAGGGCTTTCTTTTCTTGTCCTCCAAAGCCAATACCAAGATGGTAAAGCGGGAGAGCGACGGCGAGGGAGAGGGAGGGATACAAAGAGACAGAGAGAGAGAGAGAGTGATATGTGTGAGACTAAGACTGGGACAACTGAGATTGAGAGTGCGGCTGGGAGATGTGCAACAAATGTGAGAGTGGGCGAGCCTTGGCTTTCCTTTTGCTTCGAGAGCTATCATCTGATGATGTCTTCTTGAGCCTGTCTTTGCAACTGATCATGTGCAGGCGACCAATGATGCCTGGTGTTTTACTAGTGTGCAGCTGCATAGGGCCTCTTGTCCTTCTCTTTTTGCCGAGCCTTCTCCTCACGAAGGAGATTGCATGCAGCAAGGTTGAACGGCGATGAGTGCATGGATGCAGCCGTTCCTTTCTTCGCTGGCGCGACGTAGAACTGGAGCTGCTGCTGCTGCGCTTTCTGCACACGAGACGGGTGCTTGGCACTCAAAAATCTTCAATTACATCGGAATGCACATCCTGGCACTCGTTGGAGAATTACAGAGCGCCTTTTCGCCTTCTCCTCGACCTTGCTACGCTCCTGCAAACAGGGCGGTAGACCATGCGAGTTCAAAGTGACGATGTAGATCCGGCCAGTCCTTTTCCTTTTGCTTTGCTTTCTTGTCCTTATCCTGCCGACGTGGCACCCATGCTCGCCCATGCTGGGTCCAGGTCATGACATTTCAGAAGTCATTGATTAAGTTCCGAAGCAATCAGCTTCAAGAGAAGACATCTCGTCAAGACTTACAATTGAGCTTGACGCGGGTCCATGTCATGCCTCTGGACCCGTACATGCGAACGTTAGATTCGTCTCGGCCTCCCCAAGCCCCAAAATTTAAGAGCCAGCTTCAGAAATAAAAGCAAGCTGACAGGCTTTTCTTGCAGCGGCTAGTTGAATTGAACTGGTCACGTGTTTGTGGCATCGTGGTATGTAGGCTTCACCACATAACATGCTGAACGAGACTGTGAGCGACATTCCGTGCCAAGAACCCACAACGTGCTTGCTTCCAATTGCGGCTGTTCGTACCATTGAGTTTACGCCAGCTTTGACATGCAGGAGCCCTGCTGGAAAACCCACAGATACTGCGAAGGAACTGCGGTCTGCATGAATGCACGTCACACAAAGAGCAACCCCCAACGAACACACATCAGTTAGGGAGCTCCTTCAGCAGCACTGTGGGCACCCCATTCCCGCCTGGCGGCACCCCGCAAAATGAGGACCCAAACGCGCTCAGAAATCCCCAAAAAAGGAGCCGCCTGGGGTACCCCTCAAAATCCAGCCCCGGGTGCAGTCTAGCCACCCAAACCAGCCCATTCGCCCGGACCCCCACTACATAGCTCACTGCTCAACGAAGCTTCCTCTCATGAGGAGCTTTCATGACTTCACCCAGCAGATCCTCTAGTCTTTAGGACGATGGTCATCCTCCCCCGTTGCTGAGTCAGACATTATGGGCTGTTTTCCACGTTGCCTGACTTGCGCGAAGAGAGAACGCAGAATGCTCAACAATGCATCTGGAGGTCTTAGAACTGATGCAGCTATGTCTCCCATAGGGCATCTTTGGCCATCACACTTCTTAACTCTTCTTTCCAGAAGTACAAGGAGCACTCATTTATCGCGATAGCACCCCATGATTGGATGTGACCTGGACCTGGCCTTCGACCTCGACCTCTCCTTTTGCTTTTCACGCTTTCGCTCTTTGGACCGGGATCGAGACTTATCTTTCTTCTTGCCCTTTGATGCCTTTGATCTCCGCCTGCAAGGTCTCCAGCAAAGAGGAGCATTAGTCAGAAATGCTTGTGTTGAGCTGTTCAAGAGAAGAAGCACCAAAGAGTCTCGTGATTGCGCAGATCACGCACAAGACTCTAGGACTCTAGGAACGCCGCCTTGATTTTGACCGCGATCTGCCTTTCAGCTTGCTCTTGTCCTTCTGGCACTGAAGGTCTAGCACTTCAAGGCTGTGACAGCTGCACGCCGAGCATGCAACATCATGCCCACTGGATCTGTGCACCTTCACAAGCTGCAAGTTCCTACAACCTGGCATGAAACTCGAATCCTTTGCTTTGGAGCTCTTGTCTTTCTGATTTGTCTCAGAGTCTTTGTTTGACTCTTTGCCTTTGCTTGTCTCTTTGTCTCTTTTCTCCTTCTGCTTATCTGCCGCTTTCACCTCTTTCAACTTCTCCTTCTCCTTCTCCTTTGACTTGGTCTCAGCTTTGGCTACTTTCTTTTCCTTGTTCTTATCCTTGTCCTTCTCTTTGTCTTCCTTCTTGGGCTCATGCTCCTTTTCCTTGACTGCACCCTTCTCCTCATCTGTCTTCTGATGCTCCTTTTCCTTATCATTGTCCTTCTTCTTGGATTTGTCCTTTGTGTCTGAGACAGCTTCGCTTTCATGTTTCTTTAACGATGAAGTTTGGGCCTCGGTTGCCGCATTCTCGTCCTCTGCTTTGGAGTCCTGGAAGACAAAGAGAAACACAAGATCAAAATCTTAACGCTATCAATGACACCGCTTTTGTCAACCCATCCTTGAGAACAACCAACTGCGCTACATGTACCGCGGCTTCCACGTCCGCTTCAGGCTGTGTCCTGGGCTGGTGACACAGAGGTGTCAATGGGCGCCAAGTAACATTAGAAGTCACCAACTGGAGATGGCTTTAGCTCATCTTGCCTTAACGGTCGTGCAATGTCGTGCAGAAGCCGGGTTCAGCAAAGCAGCGCCTTTTCAGTTGCTTTGTTTTTTTCGGCCTTTTGTTTTCAGGATCACTTTATTGCAGGCCCTGCTGCTTCCAGCTGTCCAGGCCCTACATTCAGCTTGCAAGGGGCCTTTTCCGCTGCCCTCTTTTCTTTCTCTTTGGCTTTCAGGATCGCTTCCTGGGCCTTGGCTGCAAAGCGTCACCCCTCCTCCATCGATTCACTTGGCTCCCGGCCAATCGCTCTTCTCGCGCCTTGAAGGCAGCTGCAATTTCGGCTTGTCGGGCCACCTGAGATGTTGGAACGTGGAATGAAGTGCTTTGCAGTGCTGCACACCGCAGGAGGAAGGCCAGAGCGCTGAGATGGACTCTCATCAAGCTCCAAGACACATTAGGCAATCTTGAGCGGATACCAACTGAATCCCCCGCGCTGCTTGCTACTTGAGCTCACAAAAGCTCAGCAACGCGGAAGGTTAAGCTTTTTTGGTCGAAAAGCCACCCTCCAGAACACGCGCCATCCCACATGGAAAGAAAGGAGTCCCACACTGTCACACGCATGAAATGAAAGTCTTGGAAAGGTGCAGCCTGACAAGCTGGACAGCAATCACTGAACATATCGTCTAAACGACGCACTCTGAATGCTTTCCACAAGACCGATTCTAGGCGATTCAAAGGCACCTCCAAGCATAGGCTCAGTCTGAATGACACAACTTGGTCCGCAACTTCATCTTTCTGTGTCGAGGCAGCCTTGACATGTGCATCTTCAGGCAAACCCAACATGCGTGCTGGTGCTGCAGTCCATGATACATGCGCAAGTAGTTTCGAGGCTCTGTCGTTTCCGACCATGCATCCAACTGCTACGCAAAATGTGCTCACCGAGCACGCTACGTCGCTTGCCCCGATGATCCATTTCCATCCCATGCCTGCGCGGAAATGTCAAATGATGGCCCTGTGCAGTTCTTTTCGCACTTTAGGTGCCTTCATGATTCTTGGGCGCCGTCTTGCCGCCCTCGAACTGCAGCAAGGCGGGTGTCTCACCTTGCGAAAAGCACTTCAAGACTGCGTCCAAGCTATGCCATTTAAAGTGTCAAGGCAACACAAACGTCACAGATGAAAACCGCCCAACACCTTGACATGCGAAGCTTCGCGGAAGAAATATCTGTTGCTCTTGGCAGGCATATGCACACACTCCAAGCTGGAGTGCCCAAATTGACATCGCTTTAATCAAAGCTCGGCTCCGCGCCAATGACGCGCAACCGCTGCCCTTTTGAGCAGCCATACTTGGCACCTTAGTCGACTGTCCGCTGAGACCCTGACAGGCGGAATCCAGCTGACCGTATGTGACATGGCACGCAGCATCTCGATCACCCCGCCAATACCTTTGACCTTGTGCTGGATTGCGATCGAGCACTTCGTGCATGGCACAAACTAGATCTGCTGAGGTTGCTGGCCTCTCCGGTCAGCGGCCCTTCAAGCTCCTCTGTTACGAAGCTGTCCAGTTCCGTTTCCGGTGGCGGTGCAAAGCGAGAATTTTCTGACCGAACTTCCTGCAAACAGTGGTGAAAGCCAGTGACAGCCGAGCCGACATTTCGACTCGGTCAAGAGTTTTTCCAGTTCGCACAGGCTATTGCAAGCGCGTGCGCCTGTGGGGCTGCATGGATGAAGGCGTGCGCCGCCTCCGCGGAGAAGACCGGCATTGGCATCGTTTCCGCCGCCGGCTGCACAGGGATGAAGGAAAGGCTAAGGAGGCGATAAGGATGCCTCAACAGTCTTAGCCAGTGGGCAGTCTGAGTGCGGCCTTCGGTGGCTCCACCTTCTTGCCACTGGCAATCAGCTCGAATTCTATCTGACAAGCCACAGACGCTGCAACTCAAGTCTCACGATGCACTTGGATCTAAATTGTTCTAAAATGTGAGATGCAGGTCAGGTTGACCATTGAAGCTCATTGCAGAATTCCTACAAGTATCGTTGCGGTGCGCCTCCATTTCTCGCGCCCGTTTGGCCCTCGTTTGAAGAACGGCAACGGGGTCGCGACAGCCAGACAACGTCCTCCATCAAGACGGTATCATCATAGCAAGGAGCCAACTTCTACTCCTGCTTGACATGACTTAACCCAAAGGGTCCCCGCAGAGATGACCCGCTTCTGATCATGCGGATTCATCAGCTTCAGGATCTCTTCCGACTGGCAGGGACTGGGAGGAAGGGGTAGCAACTTGCTTCAGAGAGATCGACCTTTGAACAAGAAAAACACGTTATGCAGCATATGCAGCGGCCTTCAAAGAAGTCCAAGGCCTACTCTAAATGCAATCAAAAGTTCGGAGCCAGGCCTCTGGTGTCATCCATCTGCGATTTGCTGCGATGAAGGCCTTCGTGGCAGAGGGCAAACTGATGACACGAGATCTGGCAGCTGAGGGCGAAAGGGCCTCAACCTCCTCTTTGCTGGCAGGCCTGGAAAGCCGACCCGAGGAAGCCTTGCTTTGCTGATCTTTTGGTTGAGCTGTGATGATTCCATGATGTGTGTTCCTAGCGCGATTTGACAGCATGCTCAGCCCTCACTTCACTAATCTAGTGGTCCCTCGTGCCCTCGTGTAGTCCCCTTGCTGGGGCAACCGAGGTCGCATTGGCCACCGTTTCCCTGCTCAACAGCTAAAGGGTAAATTTGATTAGTTTCTGCTGCGGCTTGACGCTGTTCGGCAAACCTGCCATCCAAAATGAATCATGCTGGCTGAAGAGCTTGCATTGCTGGAAGTTGGAACGCACATGCTTTGAGCTTGATGGTAGAAAAATCTCGTAACTGCGAAAGCGCCATCCACGAATGTCCGTCCATTGTTATGCTATGTTAGCCATGCAATAATAAATTTCCTCAGCTGCCAGCTGTCGTGTTCTCCGCAAGGTGGGCGCCCTGCACAAGACAGCTTCGTGCGAGAATGTTGACCACCCATGCTTCTTGAGCCTTCGATGTGGAGAGTAAACCATGTATCCCCTGAGACTGCGGCTGAAAGGATTGCTTCCTTTTCTTTTGCCTGAGGGAATCGGCGAATCCAGCAGCTCTGATTTAATGTCACATGCAGCTTTGATATCATTTCACATGACAGACAGACACAGCTTCTCTTTCAGCTGTCTTCTCGGGATCTTGTTCAACTGCAAGAGTGAGCAGCACTTCAGCAAGGTGTTTGTACCTGGTCTGAGGTCCTGGGCTGGGCCCAGGCGCTCCAGGCGTACTGAATGCCCACGGAGGGGGGACTGTTGAGCACGACTGGTACACCAATGTGTACCAAGCTTTTTTCATCGGGGTCAAATTCACCCCGACATCGTTTTGATGTTGCTCGAACACGGCTACTGCGCAACCACGGTCATGTAAGCCCTGGATGTCGGGCCATTTCCAATTATCAAGCCGACAGTCAGATTCTGGGTTTCATTGCCACGGGGAAGGAAGCTGCCCGGTAAGCAAAAGACGTTGGCCTTCTGCATCAAGCTCACTCCTGCTTCTGAGATCAACCTTTGGAAGTGCTACGGGCACACCTGCTTTTTTTTGCGCTTTAACAGACCAGCTTCCCACCAGATCTCGATCCTTTGGAGTACTTCTCCCGCATGTTTAGCTTCACTGACACACAGCTTGCATTGCAGCTGGCTGTTTTTGTCGTTGGTGCTCGAAGATGGCCCACTCTGTGCCGCGAGTTTGCCAAGCATAGCCTCGTCTGCGCGGCCAAAGATGACCAAAGCATCCCAAGCGCAAGTCAAGTTTCCTGGTTCAGAGGCTGGTCTGGCCACAAGCAGAACTCTTCAGAACAGGGAACGCGAAGGAAAACTGTAACAGTAACAGCGTTTTGCGTGTTTGGAGGATAAGAGGTGACTGTTCTTGCGAGCCCCGGCTAGACGCATGGTCCTAACCGGGATGAGGAAAATGCATGCTTTACAAGAAGTCTGCGCAATGCTCAGGGATGGCCTGCCGAACACGTGATCGCATAACTCCCACCGCATCACGGCAGCTCACCTCGATGGCTTGAAGCCAACTGCGTGGCCGGCCCGTAGTCAAGAAAAGTTCAGGCGCGAACCAGCGTGCCGCCGTTGATGACTCGTCTTTGGTCCTTTTACAAGGCACGGCACGAGCGGCACAATTGTAGCAGTTTTTCTGGAATGGGCGGAAACCTCCGGCGGCATGTTCCGAAGCTCCACTGCTGCACTGTCTTCAATCCATCGATCTGGCAGCATCAAGTACTTGCAATCCATTGCACATGCCCTTTTTTCCTTCATGTTAATTCACATCTGAAGGTGTGAAATGGGTGAGGCTGAAGGCAGCCTCTGCTTTGAAAAGTAAGGCCGAGCCTTATTCATAGGTGCCATCATTACGGTTTGCCATGCTCCTTGGATCTAACATGCCTGCAAGAGCGTGCATTTCAAAAGATCACGGTGCTTTTTGCCAGACAAAGTGGGGCAGTTAACATGCCCTGGCTGGCTGTTCGCCGTGATGAAAGTTTCCACCTCATCTTTGGTGGCAGGCTCTACCTTGACGAGCCTTTCACAAGCACACAGGGACTCAATACGACATGGCATCTTTAGGATGCCCGAGCCTTGGTGTCGGCGTGGAGCTCTCAGGGCTTGCCGGTGCCGAGGCCGGCGCAGCATCCATGCTCACACTCCCAACGCTGATCCATACAACTGCCAACACTTTTGCATGGTCCCAGGGAGATGGCATGACACTGTGGCAGACTCAAGCAGTCGATGCTCTGTCATGTCCACATGTTGGGTTGGTCGCGCTTCTTTGAGCTGTAAAGCTTCCGAGCCACCTCCGGGCTACCAAAAAAGAGCCTCCCAAATGTCTGTCGCATAGTTGCAGAGCGACTACATTGACTACATGGCATTTTCTGCTCCGGCATGCAGGCCAGAAGCTCCCGAAGATTCGTGTGAGATAGCATTGCGCAGTCTTGCCCATCTCCCTGTGGAAGATGGCAACCGCTTGCTGAAATGACATGGATCTTCGGGTAGATTAATGGATTCACAGATGTCAGGCTCACAAGGTTGCCAATACTTGCCAATGCTTCAACTCTTTGGAGGCAGGCTGCTCTGCAAGTTTAGGATTGACAACCTGCAATGTGACATCTGCGTTGTGCCACCAGTGGGGGTGCGCACGTGGGTAACTGATGGACATTAGCAGGGTGAGACGTCGGGTCAGCTGCAACAGTCGGTTGGCCTGTGACCCTGGAGATTGGCCAAGGTTCTCCTCCATTCACTGCCTTTCTGGATGACTTTGAAGAAGAGCGTGCAAGCACTTAGGGACTGAGTCACATTCAAAACCAAAAAAAATGAGCCCGAGCCGATGGCGAGAATGGCAAAGGCTGAGTCATCCTCAGCCAGCAAAGCAAGCTCGTCAACATACAGTACCCGCAGCACATGCTGCCACGGTGCAGCGTAGACTGAGTCTGGACAGTGCCGCATGCTGCCACAGGCTCAGCCTGCTCTCAGGAAAGCAGACAAAGGACACAGAATAGAGCACTGCACTGCAGATGTCACGATCACGCCTAACAAGCAAAGTGCCGGCTGGGTATGGAGATCTGCACTCCGAGCACTAGGACACAGACTTCCCTTTCATGCCAAGAACTCCCTGCAAAGGCTGGTCTTGACGAAAGCACTCAAGTACTAAAGTACATAAAACTGCTCATGGGATCAGGCCTTGAATAAGAATCCAAAGTGTTGCAAGACAACGTCAACAATCCCAAACACCCTTGTTGAGCTCCAGCAGGCAGCTAGCCACAAACCACAGAGGCAATCGGCAGTTGTAATGCGCGTGTCGCTACACAGAATTACCAGTCCACATACACGCTTAAGCAAATCTCGCTCATCAGTTCAGCCAATGCCTAGATCAAGATGAAACGAGTCTGTCAAGAAAACCAAAGGAGAATTAACCAGCATCTCCGGCCGGGCGCCTGGAAGTCGGTATGACCAGGTCTTGGCATGCCACATTTCCGGCAGAAGTTGGAGTCTGACCTCACCCAAAGACTGATCAAGACTGTCTGTCCATCAGATTGGCGACATTCTGCCAAAATACTGCCACCAAGCAGCATGTAGACATTGCCGCAATTGGCGCAAGAGATAGCCTCGTGAGAACGTGAAGTTCGCCCCGTGCTGACCCCAGATAAGTCCTGACATGTCAGAATAAGGCCAATGCGCAGCTCAACAACGGGTGCTGGAACCTGTGTCTGCACTGTCTGGATCTGCGTTTGCAGAGTTGCACCAGACACCTGGTGTCTCCAAGAAAATGACGTGGCAAGCATCTCCAGTAGGCTTTGGCTTCAAATATCAAGCAAGTGCAACCTAGTGAAAAACGAGCTGATGCCGCTCATTTCTTCCAGAACAACGATAAAAAGTTGAGAAGATGGAAGCTCAGGAAGAAACATCACGGGAGCCCAGGACTGTCATTGGCAACCTGAACATCGATTCACAGTCAGGCACATCATAGCTTGTTGCTGTTGTACGCTGCGCCATGCCATTGCTAGAATTCTGTGCGACGAGGTCACGCAGTGCCGATGGTGCCAAGCCGTGCTGCGCCGCATGCGCCGCGGTCCTGCAAGAGATGGGCTTTGCCAGGAGAAATCCAAATGTCACGATCTTCACGGTCTTGGTACCTGGTCCAATAGCCGCACCTCCTGCCATGCACCTGGAAACCTCAGCGCAACACCACAGACCGGCTGGCTCGTTACTCAGCGGCCGGTGCTTGGAAGGGGCTACGACTACGAGAATCGTTTTGTGCTTTTGCAGCTAGCATTCACTGGCCCGCCGGCTCCTCATCTTGCAGTGTCTTTCCAGGCACTGAGAGAGACCCGGTAGAAGGCTCTGTGCACGGGAATTTCGCATGGTTCCCTGCATGTCATAAGGGAAAAGCAATGACAAATGCCGCACGGCTGTCATCAGTCCTTGAAAGGCATCAAGCCAGCACAGAATCACCCTGGGTTCGCCCAAATGTCGTCCAGTGCTCAGGTTAATATGAGCTGGAAAGCTTATTAGGTCCCAACGGAAGCCCACTCCAGGCTACAGCGTGAGGAGTCATGGACATGAAATGTCGACAAACGATATAGTGGGGACGACAAGAAATGCTTCACCCAAGATCTAGCTCCGCATCTGAAACAGACTTTTGCTTTCGCCAAACAAAAAACTCCACATCTACAGGATGGTCTTGACTGCCTGTCTTTATTCTGCTTCAACTGGCAAATCGTTTCAAGTCCGTTTCAGATGTTTCTTCCGTTGCGGTTGGGCGTTCTGGCTGCAAGCCGCCCTGACGGCCTAGAGCGCTCCACGCTCGTGAAAGGTCGCGAAAGAAAAAAAAACTCGCTTAGAGGCACTGCAGCCATTGGCCAATCTCTGTGTTCACCTCTGCCATTGCATCCAAATGTACCCGATGAGAGCAAGGTTCAATGACTACCAACCGGTAGTTGTCAAGGTACGTGGCAAGGCCCTTGAAAAGGCCTTCTCTGCAGATACGGTCATGAGACCCCTTCAGGATGAGGATGGGCAGCTTGAGCTTGCGCTGGGAGCCCAGAACCTTGACAGGGACAGCACAGCAGCTGTGCAAGGTATAGGACGTGAGCACAAAAATTGTCGGCACGGCTCCTGCTGGTGCTCGGACTGACCACGCAAAAGCTCACTCCAGTACGGATCTGCATCTGCGAAGACAGAGCCCATCACCTTGCGGACTAACCTGCCAAGGTGCCGCGCATATTCCTTGTGTACAACTGGCTGATGCTAAGTCTTAGCAGATGAAGACGCTCCGAGCAGCATTCGGTAGTAGTTCAAGTGCCCCCTTGCTGCACGTGGTTGCAAGAGGTTTGCACGAGAAAGGTGCAGAAGTTCTGGACGCACCTGTGCCCGCCTTAGCTTTCAGCTGGCTACACACGAACTTTCGGCTACGAATACGAGCAAATAATAGCAGGAATAGCCAAGGAGCTCTAAGTCGTTCAACAGCACTGCTCCCAGGAATGCGTTCCTTGCCAAAAAGGCAGTAGCTGCAGAATGCTCGGCACATCTTCACTTCCGCATACTACAACAGTCAATCGTGAGTTGGTGAATATCTCCATGTTCAATCAGGGCTCTGGAAGGTCAGCAGAGCTTCCGGCACAAATGGTGTGCTGAAAGCTACAATGTACAGCCAGCTGTAAAGCTGTGAAAGGTCGCGCAGGCCACGTGCGCAGGCTTCCAGTGGTGGCATGGACAGCGACACGAAACCGGCGACTTCAGGCGCATTGGCCGTCAAGCTCAAGAGACGCCAACCAATCAATGCCCCGACGCCATGGGCCACCAATAACGGCTTCTGGCCACACATGTGTGTCACCTAGGCCCATGCCACGATAGCCATCTCAATTTCCGCTACTTTGGTACGGTAATGTCAACTACTTTGGTACGGTAATGTCAACATATTTGCCAGCAGAGTTGCATACTCCAGCCCGGCACGCAAGTCTGCAACGAGGCAGGTCTCCAAGTCGTACATCTCTGGGTCTGCAGGCTTGTCGCTCAAGCCGCATCCCCGCAAAGACATGGCCATGACAGGGTGTCCCAGCGATGCGAAGAATTGCATCTGACCTGCAGGGAAAGTGAACCAAGGATAGAAGTCACAAAAAGTAGACGTCGCATGCTGGACGCCTTGCCTTCCCAGGAGGTCCACATGTCAGGGAAACCATGCACAAAGACCAGCGGACGCTTCAGTCCGCGGCGTCCGAAGCCTGCGCCTCAGGCGGTTTAGGAGAGACGCACATGTACCTGCATGGGACAGTTTCCATGTCAAACAACGCACGTGGCCTTCCACGGCATGCAGCCGCGTTCCATCGGATGAGGTCAGATAGACGTCCTGCAGGTAACGCCCATACTGCAAGGCAGCATCAGGTATGGTATGCTGCTGCTTAGAGACCACTCGAATGAAAAAACGTGGCTCCCTTACAAACAGTGGAAGAGAAACGGGCGCTTATAGTCTTGACAAGGAAACAGACGCCCCGTGGCCCGCCTCAAAGCCACTGCCCAGGGCCGTTGCATTCAGCCCTGTGGCTGGCTTTGCAAAACGTTCGGGGCGGCCACGGCGCCAGAGAGGGCGGCCGAAGAGGCCTCAAACGTTTTGCAACCAAAGCAACCGTTTTGGACTCTTTGCTGTCGGCTTATGTCGATTTGATCTAAGATGAGGCACAGGGCAGCCGCAGGAGCCCAGCCAAGCAGCCCACAGTCGCCGTTGCACTCGCTACGATGCAGTCAGACATTTGTCCCTGCACTGTGGTCTTGAATTTTAATCGGGAAATGTTGCTGGAAACAACAGGTTCTCTGCTTCGGTGGCTGCTTTGTGTCCTTGATCAGTCGTCTAGTTTGCTGCTGGTAGTGGGAGGGTGGAGGCTGCATCAGGTGCTTACTTAAAAGCAAACCCATAATTCTGTTCACTTGAACCGCTAGCTTACAGCTCAGACTATCATTCTGAAATGCCTGCAAGGGTGGTTTGCAGGTGGGCCTCGTTAATGCAGGACCCAAGGATGAGGCATCATGTTGCGAGATCAGTCAACCTACAGGTGATGAAGAGAAGAGACACAAGCATGAAAAGTATTGCCACAACGCATCGGTGTCTTGCAGCTTGAAACTGATCTTATCACCCTCCCACTGGACATTGCTTTGTGGCAGATCAAATATGGGTTTAGGCTCTCTACCGGGCTGCCCAAATTTCAGCCTGTGCTGACATGTTTCTGAGGTCCTAGCTGAAGGTATCCTGACGCCACGCGTGTTCCAACAGCCTGACTCGCCACCGCCCCGAGAGGCGCCCCGAGAGGCGCTGCGAGAGGCGCCACCTGGCCGGTCATGACTTGACCGGCCTGGGCCTGGCAGGCCTGGCAGGCCTGGCAGGCCTGGCCAACACGAGGCGGCCCCGTTGCTGCGCCAACCGGTTCCTGGAAACCCCGTGCACAAGTGGATGTTCCCAGTAAGAGGCAGGGCCGCAGGGCCTGCTGAAACATGGCTGGTGTGAGATTCACAGTGGTTACCTCAAATTTCCGAAGGTTTCGCCACTGATCCATGTCCCTCCCACTTCCTTACAAGCCAACAGGCGCTCAGAGTCAGACTACCGGCGCTTCATTCGAGACCGAGTGCTCGGTAATCACAGCGGACACTTCCACCTACATTATGACAATGACGAACATTCAAGCTATCCCAATGAGCGGCAATTCAACCATTCTGCACCTCATTACTCGGAAGAGCGATTTGGCGAACAGAGGCGACAGGGGCCTCATAGATACCTCCCAACAGCAAACAACGACAGGGAGCAAGAAGTGTGGTGCAAACTGCTCGCTGCTTCAGCTGGCTGCGCTGACATCAGCTGGCTGCGCTGACATTTTCTGCTTCTCTCACCATCCCCATGACCAGACAAGCCAGCAGAGCCTCCATGCTCAGCTTCAGCTATGCCCGCGACAACTTCCTAGCGCATGGCAGACATCCAAGTAGCCAAGCACCCTCAAAATCTTCAAATGACTGCAACGATTGACTGGTTACAACATCTCGTAGCATCTTCTGCAGGAACACTGCTGCAACCACTCTTACTTGATGGCTTGACGCAGCCTCTTTTGTTGCGGAGCGTTGATACTGCCAGCCTGGTCAAGGCTGCAAAGGGCGAATCATCAACAGGTTCCGGGTGCACAAGTTTCAGAGTTTGCAGAAGATATCATTTATCACGCGGGACCAACACAATCCCACACACACCGTCCACAGCCAACCTGCCAAGTCCACAAAAACATCGGCCCTCTCGTTCACGCACGCTCGGAAGCGAACGTCACAACGTTGAAGCCAGGTCAAACAGCAGACATCAGCTGCACAAGCACTTGCGAGCGGCCTGTCTGGATTATTCTTTGCTGCATGGAGCCGGATGCTTTCTGGCGAATCACCTCATGCTGCACCACCTGGCACAAGAGCGCCAAATTGTAAGTGTGATTAGGATGCATGACCCCCGCGCAAGGATGACGCAGGCCTTTGATTGATCAGGAATAGTATCTGTGGTCAATCAATGCAAACCAATTGGTGCGCGGTGCTTTAGCCAAATGGGTTGATAATACCCCCAGTTGGCCACTAGCACGCTCGTGGAATAAGCGTATCTTCAGACTTGAGGACCCCTTTGGGTTTCTGACATGGACATGATGACTAGACGGGGCCGATCACCAGGAGCGACCAGCGAGACGCCAACCCCGTGACTGCCAGTCAATGATGGACCCCCGAGGAGAGGGGACCGCCCATTGCAGCTTACCGTGAGGGCATACGGTTTCTAGAGGTAAGGGTCGATGATAGGGAGCTGGAACCAGATTACGATGCCCGTATCACAGTCCCACCATGCAGGGCTACTTCGACCACAGTAGTCAGAGAGACACGTGCCTCAATCCAAGAAGCCTCAGAGTCTGGGGATGAGTTACCCTTTCAATCTATTGGATGCTGCACAGCAGGTTTGAGGGCTGGGAGTTCTGGTGATGCAAGAACGATTGGGACGGAAATTGACGGACAGGTGCCCAGCCAAGCGTCTTTACCAAATTTAGAAGATGAAAGCCAAGGTGAGCTTGCGACTGCTGAGATCTTAGTCTGGCAGGGTGGCGCCAAGGGTTTTGGTCCACTGCAAGCTGGTTCAAACAGCGACATGACATCATCGACAGAACCCATATCATATTACCAACTAGCACTAGGCCAAGTACACTTTCGGGGAGAAGCCGCAGCAGGGAGCGAGATGGTGGACAAGAGAACCGCCTCGAGCGCATCTTAGATCGTAAGTAGAGAGTCTAGCTTGACAGACCATGGCCCGGTTTGAAGCAATGGACTTAATGACATCTCAGGAATGCCGGCAACGAGCAAGCAAAAGAAATGGCAGGATGCTACAATTGATGTGGTTGGCGCAGCAGCCAGCCATTCAAGGAGGAGCAAATTTTACTTCGGCTTAGCAGGTGGTCCTGTCAGGCTAGAGGAGCCTCATCAGACATGGAGGGGGTACTGGGGTCAAAGGACGCAAAGCCGGACGCGCTTGAGGTAGCGAACATCCTACTGGATGATGACCCGTGAGTGTTGAGTTACCGTGGTGATAGACTGATGGCAGAGGAGAAGAGCACCCCTACAGCCGTACGGAGCCTGTATATGCTACACCAACTACTCATTTGCTGGTCCAGCTGGGAGGTCCCGGAGTCACTTAGCCAATTTTCTCCGGGTCATTTGGCGAATTCGGATGCCGCACCACTTAGCAACTTTTTTGCGGGTCACTTGGCCAATTCAGGCTTCAGGATTTAGATTTGGGTTCATCATATATCTTAAACCCCGCTCCATCATTTGGCGATTAGGGTTTGGGGGCGTTTGGGGTGTTTTGGGTTTAGGGTGTTTAGTGTCTATGGTGTTTACGGTTCAACATGTTCAAGGTTTAGGGTGTCTAGGGTTCAGGGTCTTCGGGGTTTAGAATATTTAGGGCGTTTAGGGTCTTCGGGGTTCAGGGTCTTTGGGGTTTAGGGTCTTTGGGGTTTAGGGTCTTTGGGTTTGGGGTCTTTAGGGTTTAGTGTCTTTAGGGTTTAGGGTCTTTGGGGTTTAGGGTCTTTGGGGTTTAGGGGGTTTAGGGTTTAGGGTCTTTTTGCTATGGCCGTGCGCGCTGTACGAATGCGCGCTTAGGCGCCAGCTCAAACTGAGGATTCCGAACCTCTTTGGCTATGTTAGCATAGTGTTGGTGTGGTCCTAAAATACCTCTAGAGAGCAAGTGGCGGGGGAAGTACTTTCTAGAGTAAACTTCCAGCCAATAGGGAAACTGCATGCCTCTCCTCCTACCTTGATCCACTATGCGGTCTTTGAAACTGGGCCCAAAGATGACACTGTGCATAGGGTCTTGGCGGTGTGATCTATAGACCTGCACCGTCAGCAAGTATTGATGATAGGAAAGGCATTCGGAAGGAAGCTTTGGACAGCCCGCTTGTTCCCAGACACTTTGATTGGTGACCTGTGAATAATAGGACGCCTTGATTCCAATCGCACGTCTTAGGAACCTGTAATATTGTCCGTCAATCCTATGAAGCTGTTTGGGGGTTAGGGTGAGCGTATCTAACCCATAAAGAAGCGTGGGTAAGAAGACGGTCTGAAAGATGCGGACCTTGGATGAGCGGGTTTTGTTGCTATTCCCAAACGAGTCGCAACTTTTTGTATGCCTCTTCTGCTAGTCCTAACCTATGGTAGAAAGCAGCTTCAAAGGGTTTCTCCCAAGATACTAAGTGTGGTCTTGACCTGGGTACCATCGAGAAAACAGATCGAGGATGAGGGGGTTTTAGGGTGGCTAAGTATTTCCGTCTTGTCCAGATTCAATTTCATCCCATACTCCGATGCAACACTTTCCAGGCCGCCTAGAAATCCCTGGAGCTGCGTAAAGGTGATGGATAGCAGGAGGGTATCGTCCGCATATTCTAGATCGTAAACGGAGTGTGCGACTGACCATACATTGGTGGGCGTTCCGTTATGGGTAAGGTCCGTGTCGAGATCATGCAGCATGACGCTCAGTACTATGATAAAAAGGTAGGGGCTGAGGGGGCAACCTTGTCTGATGCCTGCGTGAACTGTACCCTCACACTCCGTGTTATTAAAACCTCTAACATAGAACAAGGGATTGAGATAAATGCTAGCTATATTTCGTAACATCCTTGAAGATAGCCCAAATCTCTCTAAAGCATGCAGCATGGCGGTGTGGTCCAAGGAGTCGAATGCTTGTTTCCAATCCAAAAATAACAGATGTAGCGGTGTGTTAGTCATAGTTGACCATTCCATTGCTCGGCGCAATATAAACAAAGGCTGTGTGGTACTACGCTGAGATCTAAATCCGTACTGGGTGCTACGTAGTCTGGAATCAAAACACGTCGCGAGTCTAGTCTGTAACATTGCAGAATATATCTTGTACACCGAATTAAGGAGGGAGATTGGGCGGTATGACGAGGGGTCAGCGTCGCTGCCTTTGTTTTTGAATATTGTAACTACTCTGGCCTCTACCCATGATCTTGGGACGTCACCTTCCATCCATATTTTATTATAAATGTCCAACAGAATCTCCTCAGACTGCGCATCCAGGTTTTGGAATAATTCGCCTACTACACCATCCGGTCCTGGGGCTTTGCCAGCTTTGATTTTGGCTAGCGCGTCTTTCAGGTCTTGGATTGAGAAAGCGTCCTCGTCTGCCTGGGTGGTATGGAGGTGTGGTCTGCAGTTTCTTCTGTCGGCGGCCTGTTGGCTGATGATGGGTGTGGCCCATTGGGAGTTTTGTAGGTGGTTACGAAACACCTCGTGCGTGCGCGACCATGGTTGCGGTCTTCCGTCCTCCTCAAGGTGAGCCCGTCTACCCTGAAACCCTCGTTTTTGTCGCCTAACCACGTTCCAAACGGTTGACGAGGTGCCTGCGGGGTCCCTTGTGAGTTCCCTGTGCACCCACCCCACCCTATCCTTCTTGGCGAGCCTGTTCGCTTTGTTTCGGAGCTCTTTCCAATCCGGAGCCTGCGTGGCTTCCGCGCGTCTGGCCTCCTCCAGAGCGAGTAGCGTGCCGTCAGTGATCCAGGGCGTTCTCGGGACGAACTGTCTGTAGGAAATGGTGTCCCTTGCTGCTTCTCTCATGGCCGTGACGAATGCATCTGCGGTGTGGTCCGTCTTAGGGGGGTCGGGGTTCTGAAATGGTAACGTAAGGTAACGAGGTGCCCCCTTGTACTTCGTAGCTGTTTTTACCTATCTCCGCTAGCCTATCCGCCCTTTCATTGCCTTCGTTGCCCTGATGACCCTTTACCCAAGTGAAACTAATTGTCATTCCTGATTTACGGTAGAGCTTCTGGGCCGCTTGTACTAGGGCTTTGTTGGCCTTTGCCCTCCATTTACCCGTGATGACCTTGATAGCCCACGGACTATCCGAATGTATGCGCACATGGGAATATTCGTGCTTCGAGGCGTACAATAGGGCTTCTATAATGGCTGTAATTTCCCAGTGTTATTAGAGCCTACCGTCGCCCCTAGGTACGAGAAATGGTTCGGGGAGGTGATTACGGGCCCACGCCTCTAGCCAGGTTAGTCCTTGTTTACTAGGCTTAGGGTCTTTAGGGTTTTGGGGGATTAGGGTTTTAGGGTCTTTAGGGTTTTAGGGGGTTTGGGGTTTCGGTTTAGGGTCTTTAGGGTTTAGGGTCTTTCGGGTTTAGGGTTTTTAGGGTTTAGGGGAGGGTCTTTAGGATGTAGGGAGTTTAGGGGGTTTGAGGGGCTTTAGGGTTTTTAGGGTTTAGGGGGTTTGGGGTTTCGGGTCTTTAGCGTTTTTGGGGATTAGGGTTTAGGGTCTTTAGGGTTTAGGGGGTTCAGGGTTTAGGTTTTGGGGGATTTTTGCTAGAGCCGTGCGCGCGCTTTTCTGCGTCTGTGCGCGCGCTTTGGCGCCATCTCAAGGGGATTTAGCAGGGATCTCTTCATTTGTGTGTACGTAAAGTGTGGGCCTAAAACCCCTGCGGTGTGGTCAGACAGTTCTGGGTGGTATCTTTTAACCATGACTTCTATCCAGTATGGGAATTGCATACCTCTACGTCTACCTTGTGTAAGAATTCGGTCTTTATAACCGGCGCAGAATACCACGTTATGGATTGGATTATCTTGTGGGGCACTGTAAGCCTCGTGAAGCATCTTATACTGAGTGATCCGGACACTTTCTGAGGGGCGGTTTGGTCTG